ATGGCGGCGGTCTGTAAATAATCGAGCCTGGACCAGACAATCCAGTGATCAACAGCATGAGCATCGATCTGCGCAACTGGGAACCGATGACATGTGTCAACCAAGTCAGCAAGCCTGATCACCTGATCCCGTTAGTCGCCTCTTACGATAGGCATGGGTTACTGAAGGCTCATTCTAACCCAGACCGTCACGGGTCCACAGGAATAGACAAGAATAACCTGGTATTAGAGCAATAGAAATGAATAACCTCTTATTAGGGCAATAGAAATGAATGACCCAGTATTCGAGGAATAGAAATGATTGACCTGGTATCAGAGGACACACCAGGTGTCAGATACACATGGCAAGACAGGGCAGGTGTCTGGTACATAGAGGACATAACTGACCAGGTGTCTGGGTGCATAAGGACATGATTGGCCAGTGTCCGGGACAACAGGGACATGACCAAATGGGTGTTACATATACTGAGGGGAAAAAATAAGGGATCACATGGAAGCACAAGTGATACAAAGCTTGTGAAGACACCTGGGACAAAAATAAAGGAACACTTGTGCTTTCATGTGATCCCTTATTTGTTTCCCTCAGTATATGAAAGACATGTTAAGCCGATATGTATGTTGAGTAGTTGAAAGACATGACACTGACCCATGTGATTCAATCGGTATTACACTGACTGATTGAGTTAGGCCATTAGGCTACCCCACCGCCCATCAAATTACACAGTATTACAGGAACTTGTATGGGTGAAGTAACAAAGTCACAAGTTTATTTCTCGTTTGTTGTTAAACGCTGCATTCAGCAATATTCCATCCATATGGCAGCAGTCTGTAAATAATCGAGTCTGGAGTAGCCGATCCACTGATCAACAGCATTAGCATCAATCTACGCAACTGGGATATGATGACATGTTATTTGTAACATATTGAGGACAAGCTCAAATGAGACTCTGTGGGGCAGTGAGCCTCCATTACCTCCTTCCAAAACAAACTGGGTGAGTGAGAGAGTTTAATTTTATGCCGCTTTTAGCAATATTCCAGCAATATCACTTCAGGGGACACCAGAAATGGGCTTCACACATTGTATCCATGTAGGGAATCGAACCTGAGGTCTTCGGCATGACGAGTGAACGCTTTAACCACTAGGCTACCCCACTGCCCCTCGTAAACAAATATTTTGTTGCGTGGGTTCAGGACAAGTGCATTTAATATTAGAATGGGGACTAGGGCTGCAACGAATCCACCATATGTCGAATATGATACACATCACGAATATTGGATAACTACTACAAATATTGGGAAACTATAAAATAACAACTCAGCAGTTAATGTATTATAAATGATATCCAGTGAAACAGTAACCAAATATATTCTTTGACATGAGTTGACTATATCAACAGAGGTAGTTTATCATGACAATGGCAAGTGACTACATTACTGTAAAATAAAATACAGGAGACCGTTGACTATTAGCATACCTGGCTTGGATATATTCCATGTTGCATATCTCACACTGATAAATTACACTCTAGTTCTAGTAAAAACACTCCTTTTTTTCATGAATAATCAATTTTTCTGATCACGAATAATGAATTGAATTTAAGAGAGTTTCTGGTTCGATTCACCGGAAACAGCAGTGAATTGTAACAGCCCTAATGGAGACCTACAAAACGCTTGATTATTGCTGGGTAATTGAGGAGTATGGTTTTATGCAAGATTTAGCTGTATCGCAGCCAAGGGAACACCAAAATTTTACTTCACACATCGTAACCATTGAACCTGGGTCTTTGGAATGACAGGTAAACACTTTAACCACTGGGCTACACCACTGTCCCTCTGTAATCGTGGATGGGAAAATGTTCAGTGTGCATGACGAAGTACACCAGCACCCTTAAAAAAACCTGCAACAAGGTGATGCTCTTTGTCAGTATTTATTATTGAAACAGATGTTTTAGTTTGTTTGGCATATTTAACAGCCTCATAGCGAGTGTTTGAGCATGTTGAGAACATGGACAGATCAAAGTTTGTCACAATATGACACCTCAGTGAACTGTGGCATTGTAAACCGAAGATGACATACATACTGCAGCGAGGTTACTTCAGCCTACAGGTGCACATCAAAAGCACCAATCTGAAAGCTTTGTTGGAATGTTATTTTTAACATCTGGTCAGCAGTTTTCATGTGTTTGCTTGGTTAAAAGACATATATTACATATTATGTCTATAACAAAGTGCTACCTTTGCCACCAGCCTGAAGCCCAAGTTTAGTCAAATCATCATCTGTCAACAGTGTCTGGTAAGATCACTTAGGCAAGACCAGTTTTATTTCTTGTTTTATGGATCCGCCGCTCGTGTTTTTTCAAGAATAAGAAAAAAAAAAAATTAATTTTCCCCGCTCAAAAAATAAAATTTTCATATTTTTATTGGCCAAAAATGTAAACGTTCAAGAAAATGTTTTTAGATTGTTGTTTTTGGCCCCATATATACTTCATAAATTGCCAAAAGTAAAATACTTTTAGTATTTAAAATGAATATTACTTTGACTGTTGATTTGTATTTTTTTGCCTTCCTGCCATTAGGTTTTCTGAGGACAAAAATCTGTAAAACAAGAAATAAAATTGGTCTGGCCTTAATAATAAGTGAATTAACCTGCAGGTAAAATGTGAAAGTACCCTTGTGACCTTGAAATGAAGGTCAAGGTCACCAAGCCTGACTTGGACCTTTCTTATTCTGTGATGAACCTAGGTACCAAATATGAAAAGAATCTAGAGAACGGTTCTTAAGATATTGCAATTCGTACGTACGTAGCCTAATACTTATTACAACATCCCCCGCTACTATACTATACTAGATTTAACTGCGTAACATATAATGTGAAATCTTTAAAATTCCAATTTCGGAATTTAACCAGATATTTATAGATACTGGCCCCTGAACAGAATACTGGCCTCTGAGCAGAATACTGGCTCCTGAGGGGAACACTGCCCCCTGAGAGGAACACGGGCCCCCGAGTGGGATACTGGCCTCTGAGCGGAACACTGGCCCCTGAGCAGTATACTGACCTCTGAGCGGAACACTGGCCCCTGAGCGGAACACTGACCCCTGAGCGGAACACTGGCCCCTGAGCGGAACACTGGCCCCTGAGCAGAAAAACGGCCCCTGAGCAGTATACTGGCCTCTGAGCAGAACACTGGCCTCTGAGCAGAATACTGGCCCAAGAGCGGAATACTGGCCCCTGAGCAGAACACTGGCATGCAAAAATTACCCTTGGCCTTATGAAATTCCCGGAATTCCGCGGAAAATTCTCATCCCTAATATCTTTCGATTATAATTGATAATCGCTCACCACAAGTCCTCCGATAATCGATAGTGGATTTGGTTTCCAATTCCCAACACTAGTTCAAGGCACAATTTTTAATGACAATGTTTTAACGTCCTTGTGACCAATATTTCCATTGGCAATATACTAATACTGTAACACTGTAACACAATCAAGGCCAGGCTCCTTAAAATCATTAGGGCTGGGACAATACACTATGTCACGATACAATACGTTACGACAATATTTTACCTGCAATATGATACGTATCACGACACGGCTACTAAGTTTACTTAGACTGATTCTAACCAGGATCTACACAAGCCATAGGTGAGAAGTAACCTATTACATGATGATCATAAAAACAACAAATGTATGAATCAAATTAATTCAAATCTCTGATTTTGAAATTTTAAAATTTTCAGAAAATTCAACTTTTTAGCCATTTTCAAATTTTGCACTCAATCATCAACATGGTCAGGAATGTGGCTTTAAAATTATGCTGTCAGGAGGTGAACAACTCATTTCACTTCCTGAGGAAATATCTGCCAAATCTGTAAACAACAAATAGGCGTCATATGAGAACAAAGAAGCAAGTCTTTCCTTGCCAGGTAACATTTTGGAAGTAAATATGTTTCCTGGACATATCCTTGCGAGTGTGTTGTGTACGACTGACTTTTGATATAGATCATAAACATCAATAGTTGTTAATTGAATTTTTATCAATCAATTGTCAACATGATCAAAACATATCTGAGAAGGGACTTTCAGAAAAAATATAGATATTTCATGTCATATGCAAATTGTGACATTTATGCATGGGTATTGATAACAACTACAAGAGATCAGTGTATTCAGTAAACATGGTAAATGTTGATCAGGAGATTGCATTCAGTCTTTGTCACAAATCTGTTTTGGAAAACTGAAACTTTATTTTAATCACTAATAGTTTATTTCAGATATTATCAATTTCATTTTTCATATCGATGATCGTGAATTCTTCGTATTGACAATATTTCCCATTACAAATCTTATTCGCCAGCCCATGTGTTGCGTGTACATGGAGTAAAATGTGCAGTATTGTCACAAACCATTACCATGCCAACTCATGACAAAACAAACATTTCTCACCTCTGGTAAAGATGATTTTCACCTCAAATAATTTCACTTTGCAGAAGTTAAACTGGTTTTTCAAGGAGGGAAGTTAGATCCTGTTTTTCATCATAACAGATCCTTGACAAACAATTTCGTCACTTTGCCCTGATGTTAATGTGTATCATCTACAATAATACTGAGTTTATGTTAACCAGTAATAGACACTCAAGATTAATCTCACTCAAGTTATAAAATGTCAACATTTTATGTAATTGATATGTAGAATGTTGTAAGAGTTGAGGATGCTGGTACCTAGTAATTTCTACAAAATACGCACACACGTATTCATGTTATAGGCACGAACTATTTCTGGGAATGTAGAGAATTCTTAGTATTAGCCCTCTGGCCAGATCTGAACATACGACCATCATTCCATCATTAGATTCGTGGTTCACAATCAATACGATGACATTGACAATGAATTTTCTTGCGACACACCTACTAAAAACTTTGCCTGCAGAGTTAATATTACTCCCGTTAAGAGCCATAAACTTCAAATTACACCATCTCCATGCATGTTAGACTCTTACCTGTACCTGTGGTGGTTGTTTCACTCATTTCTTGTCGTTCACTACGAGCGAAATTGGTTTCAGAATGGCTAACTTCTGCAGCAGTCGCCATTTTCTTGGTCCGATCATCACAGTCAGTCCGCCCTAAATGGGCGTCACTGTTCTTAATCTTGCATCACAAACAAATGTTGAAAGATTTCAGCTACGAAGACATCTACCAAGTACTTCCGATATCCCAATTAACAACAATTATGAATAATTAGCAATCAATTCGGTGCTTTTTTCCGTGTGGATCGACAGTCTTAGCAGACATGAGGCACTGCGCATGCGTTGGGGCATATGCTATTACAAACAAAACTGATTACATATGGTGGCAACGAGTCGTCTGCTGGTCGTGATACATCCGGTCATCCGACTTCGGATGAAGTATGAGCATTAGTTTTCCATGTGATAAAACATTAAATTCTAACCGTGATGTTATGTAGTGGCATATTGAAATATGGCTGCATTAGTGAAGTTTAGTCATCTTCCGTAACAGAAACATCCAAACAAAATGGTGATGGTGAACAAAATCTGAACTAAAAGTCAAATAAATATACTATTATTTCAATCAGAATGTGCAAAACAGTATATGTGCGAAAGACTAAACGACAACAAAGGAACACAGTAATTAATTATTTATTTTATTTATTTTTTTTTTAAATTAATTGTCATTATATTTATTTATTTATTTATTTATTTTTTTATTTATTTATTTTATTTTATTTTTATTTTATTTTATTTTATTTTATTTATTTATTTTTTGGGGGCAGGTTATGTGTTTGTTGGGTTGTGTGTGTTTGTTGGGTTTAATAGTTTCGTTATTGTATTTCTGTGTGTGGACACAAAAGTGAAGATTCGGGGATCGAGTAGGAGAAAGAGCGTGTGGCGTGTGTGCGCGTGCGTGCCTGCGTGATATGTTGGTGTTATGTGTGCATGTGTGTTCTTTGTGTTTTTTCAGCATGTTCAGTGAACAACAGATTTTGTCCTGTAAAACTACTTATGTAAATGGCGTTTTCAGAAACACGGGAAAATGCATGGATAATCCGCCCTGAGGCGTCTGGGCTTTATATTTTGAAATTATTACTGATCGCTTTTAAAGAAGGAAATAAACCGCCGTAGTAAACACAACTGATACTAGTAGATTTGAAACCTTTTGTTTCTCATGATTTAATGCATGCGGGAGAAACCAGAAACGGGCTTCACACATTTTATCCATGTGGGGAATCGAACCCGGTCGAGCGAACGCTTTAATCACATTGATACACCACAACCCCGACCTGAAAACAAACGAATCTGGACACGGCAATCCAGTGATCAGTATCATGAGCAATGATGTAAGCCTTCGGGGTAAAGAATAACAAAGTTAAGCCTGATCCCTCGATTAAATACAATACAATATAGTTTATTAAGTCTCACCAGTTGTACAACATGGTTTAAAATACAACATTTTGAATATTAGAACGTAAAAGTACAAATGCCACCCCAAAGGGTTATGAGAGTCTATGTTTTATAAAATACTAAATACTTTATATGATAAGGTAAAATGATACATAATACTATGGTGGTATAATTTAAAGGTAGAAATATATAATGTATATGATATTTATGAATATAAAATATTAAATATATGGTAAAATTATGCATCAAATAATTTCCTCCGCATAAATATTTTGAAGCACATGCTTCTAAGAGTAGTAAAATGCTATAGACTAGTGGTCAGTGAATAAGCAGGAGTAAAATCACCCCTAAATCTCTCTGACTATCCATATATGTACAATGTATTGAACCTGGAACGTCGTTACACAATAGATAACACTGCCACATAGCACATTACATAACACTGTCACACGACACATTAAACAAACCGGACACATAACATATTAAATAACACTGCCACATAACACATTAAATAACACTGCCATATAGCACATTATTTAACCCTGCAACATAACACATTAAATAACACTGCCACATAAGGCATTGAATAACACTGCCACATAACACTTTATTAAACACTGCAACATGACATATTACATAACACTGCCACATAGCACATTAAATAAAACTGCCACATAACACATTGAATAACACTGCCGCATGACACATTGAATAACACTGCAACATGACACATTGAATAACACTGCCACATGACACACTAAATAACACTGCCACATAACACATTGAATAACACTGCCACATGACACATTGAATAACACTGCCACATAACACATTGAATAACACTGCCACATAACACATTGAATAACACTGCCACATAACACATTGAATAACACTGTCACATAACACATTGAATAACACTGACACATAACACATTGAATAAAACTGCCACATAACACATTGAATAACACTGACACATAACACATTGAATAAAACTGCCGCATGACACACTAAATAACACTGCCACATAACACATTGAATAACACTGCCACATGACACATTGAATAACACTGCCACATAACACATTGAATAACACTGCCACATAACACATTGAATAACACTGCCAAATAACACATTGAATAACACATTGACACATTGAATAACACTGCCACATAACACATTGAATAACACTGCCACATAACACATTGAATAACACTGCAACATGACACTTTGAATAACACTGCCACATGACACATTGAATAACACTGCCACATAACACATTGAATAACACTGCAACATGACATATTACATAACACTGCCACATAACACATTAAATAAAACTGCCACATAACACATTGAATAACACTGCAGCATGACACATAAAATAATACTGCCACATGGCACACTAAAGAACACTCCCACATAACACATTGAATAACACTGCCACATAACACATTGAATAACACTGCAACATGACATATTACATAACACTGCCACATAACACATTAAATAAAACTCCCACATAACACATTGAATAACACTGCAACATAACACATTGAATAACACTGCAACATGACACTTTGAATAACACTGCCGCATGACACATAAAATAATACTGCCACATGACACACTAAAGAACACTCCCACATAACACATTAAATAAAACTGCCACATAACACATTGAATAACACTGCAACATGACACTTTGAATAACACTGCCGCATGACACATAAAATAATACTGCCACATGACACACTAAAGAACACTCCCACATAACACATTGAATAACACTGCCTCATGACACATTAAATAACACTGACACATAACACATTGAATATCACTGCCACATAGCACATTGAATAACACTCCCACATAACACATTGAATAACACTCCCACATAACACATTGAATAACACTGCCTCATGACACATTAAATATCACTGCCACATAGCACATTGAATAACACTGACACATAGCACATCACATAACACACGAAAGGGAAATGTACGTTGGAAAATCGAAATGTTCTACCTCATTATTTGACCAAACAACGTCTATCAGGATATCCAGAAAATCTGCATATTTCTCAGTAGTTATCTTTTACGAAAACATTAGCAAATATACCACTTCCATGAAAATGGTGTTAGAATTAAATTTCTCTTTTCTTGGAAATATTTTTTTGTTTAACTTGTTTTTCGGAAAATATATTTGGAAATATATCAAACGTTTATAAACTTGACAAAAAATAATAATTCTTGCCTGAGTTGCGTTATAATTTCCATGGTCTTAATCCAAATTGTAATTCTAAAAAGCTGCTGATGGTGTGTTTTTACCGAAAGATCAGTTTTAAGGTAATGATGACACAACGATCAAACCCACAACGGGTAGTTCTCTGCTGAAAATATCTGTATAGCATGGAACTCTAGAAAGGACACTTTGGCGGTGTCGCATTGTCACCCCTACCTCAAGAGGGAGTGAGTTTGGTTTTACGCCGCTTTTAGCAGTATTCCAGCAATATCACGACGGGGGACACCAGAAATGGGCTTCACACAATGTGCCCATGTGGGGAATCGAACCCGTGCTTTCGGCGCGACGAGCGACAGCTTTAACCAATAAGCCACCCCACCGCCCTCTGCAGCAAGAAATGGAAAAGAATGCAATTTTTTAACAATGTCCAGAATATTGACAGACTTTTGTTATATTATATGCATTTGTTGTCTACTCTATCACAGTATAACTCAACAATCCACCTCAATATGACTTTGCAGTTCACTTAACATAACATACCAGTCTACAGCTGGGAGACCCGTGAAGATCGGGGGTAGAATAGGTCTTCAGCAACCCATGCTTGCCACAAAAGGCGACTATGCTTGTCGTAAAAGGCGACTAACGGGGTCGGGTGGTCAGGCTCGCTGACTTGGTTGACACATGTCATCGGTTCACATTTGCGCAGATCGATGTTCAGGCTGTTGATCACTGGATTGTCTGGTTCAGACTCGATTATTTACAGACCGCCGCCATGTAGCTGAGTGCGGCGTAAAACTAAACTCACTCACCCACTACAGCTGGGAAATCTCATTCCACCCTGATATAAAACAACACTATATGCTTATACATCTCCACCCCGATATAAATCAACAGTCTACCCTATATGGCACAACAGTCTACCCCTATATGGCACAACAGTGCACTTTATATTATACAGCCAATCCAAATATGTCACAACAGTCTACCCTTAAATAACACAAATCCACCCCAATATGGCACAGTAGGTCACTCATGAATATCACCACAGCCCTTCCCCCTATGAAATAGCAGTCCATTGTTGAAAGACACAGAAGTGCACCCTGTATGCCACAATCTACCCGTGAAGATCCGTGTTAGAATTAATCTCCAGCAACCTATGCTTGTCGTAAGAGGCGACTAACGGGATCAGGTGGTCATGCTCGCTGACTTGGTTGACAAATGTCATCGTGTCCCAATATTGCGTAGATCGATGCTCATGCTGTTGATCTCTGGATTGTCTGGTCCAGACTCGAATATTTGCAGACTGCCGCCATATAGCTTGACGTTAGACAAACAAACAAACAAACAGACAAGTAGTTCAATCATATACGACTTTGAGGTATCCCGACGCTGTGTGATTTGCCTCCAGCGTACAGCTATTTTTACCCAAGGCAACAAGTACCATCCTGTAACGTCTTTTTGTTTAACGCAACGATGGTATCGAACCACTCAAAGAAATGAACGATCCCCGTGATAATGTTTACAGACAGCTCCCCGTCTGTCACGAATTGAGCCCTATATAAGTAGCATGCATGTGTATGTTGGACAAATGGCGCTAATATACTGTCTGTGTAGCGATTCAACATTTCAAACATGTACAGCTGATGCAGTACTTTTCCGGTCACGTGATAATCTGACATGTTATTTCTGACGTGATCAATACCGGATCAATAATTCCTCAAGTTGCAGGCCACGAATGGTGACAACCACCAGGAGCAGGCCGGGTCAATGTATGAATATGTACAGGTAGTTGTTGCGCAAATAGCATACGGTCTTTATCCCGGAAGTGAGTCTCCCCACCGCCTACTAAAAATAGAATGAGTATATAAAACCTCAATTTGTTGGTGATCGATCACACCGAAGCAGAGATTGCGGTGCAGGATCTCAGAAACACTAACGTGAGCATAGGTGTCCGAAGAAAACGAAAACTCTTGTGTGTTTAGGCTTTGGGAATGTTAAAATTTTTGTTGTGTATTTCCGGACAAGTAGTGTAAATATTTACCTTGGGAACTAGGCCAGACCTCATTATCGTGGACACTGTTCACGGTCGGTGCGAGTGAACTTTAATGCCCGCATTCCAATGTTCTCCTTGCCATTAACAAGGGCGTATACAAACAGTGAGTGGGTATTTTTAGTTTTCCGCCGCCTTTAACCATATTCCAGCTATATCACGACGGGGGAACACCACAAATGGGTTAAACACATTGTACCCATGTGGGGATTCGAACCCGGGTCTTCGGTTTGACGTGCGAACGCTTTATCCACTGAGCGACCCCATTGAGCCCGCTGTGTGAGTGAACTTTTGTGCCCGCATTCCGACATTCAAATACACTACCAACAGAAAATAGGGTACTATAATTATTTGTATGTATGCATATGTTTGGTGCATTTGTGTGTTTAATTAATAGGGGTGACTAATGAGGGAGAAACAACTATTTATGGAAACAATAGTTTATTGCAACATACTATCGCGATAGTCTATTGCTACCAACTATTGCAATATTTTTTTCTCCTTGGATTGTCTGTTGTATATATCCTCGAGTCATCTGTTTTCGTTCAACATCTGTTTTTGGTCGGCTGTGTGCGTATTCATTTCTCGCGGTTATTAGCGAGATATTACGTCACCAGACAGGTTAATTTTAGCAGGAGGTCGACTGCTTCAGCTCTGACTAACAAAATGCTTCTTGTGAAATTTAGTAAGGTACATGATTGCACACGCATGTAAATGTTACGTCTTTAGAACCCAGTTTACTAATGCATCAATTTTCATGTAATCAAAATGCTATATCTAAAATATCGTCAGCTCCACCTTTTCAGTATAGCGTCGTCTGCTTGTTTATGGTATGACGTATCATTATCACATGACATATCCCGTGGCGTTGCCGTCGTAAAAAATATATATGGAAACTGGATAGGGTCATCTCTTATTACGATTTTCCAAAATACTCATTTAATTTTCGAAACTGCAATGAATATTTCTGTGTCATGGGCCCAGTGTACTCATCCTGTGTGCCGTCGTTGGGTCCACCTCAAGCTGTACACCTCCGTATGTGTAATGAGATCTTCTGATGAGTTTTGGTGCCCTTGTCACCGCGAACCGGAGGAGTGAAACATGCCTGGACATGTGATGTAACTAGCAAAGTCTTATCATGATTAACTTTGACATGAAATTATGACGACCTTAGTTTCTAATAATTATTATTGGAACTATTACAAATATTCTTTTTGGACTGGATGTTTATCAACTTTATATTATAAAAATATCAGCATAGCACGAATACTGCTATTAGATTTCTGTTTTACGGAGAACCAATGAAGTGAACGAAAACAGATGACGTCACTTCCGCATTCACGATCTTTGCGTAGCGAACTATGAGGCCTGCTGTGCGGGTGAAACACGAGGTTAATCCGTCAGATATTTGAATATCATAAATAAATAACAAACAAACAAGGTTTGTTTATTATCGATTTATTCATGCACTTTATGTTACGTTGGTCGACAATCCTTACATGACCGAAAACCGAATACACAAGGATACCTCTGTTTGATCGAATTTTCGATCAAAACGGTCCGGGGGGCGTGGCCGAAGAGAGTCGTAGCGATTGGTTTCCGATCATAATGACACCCAATCTGAGGCATCGCCATTATATTCATTTAGGTGTTATGCCTATAAAGTACTGGTGAGGTTTTCGCGACGACTCATACCTCTGGTAGACGTCGATGTTAAACATGACTTCAGCGGTTAAAGATGTCCCGAAGTCTCTCTCAGCGCAAGTCGTAGTGGAACCGAATTCGCGTTGTCATTTGGAATTAGTCAACAAAGTGTACGTGTCTGCCAAGATGTGGAATGGCAAGCTGGGTATACATATCAGAAAATACGTCACGTATCGCAACGGCAAGTTTTATCCTACCAAATCGAGTCTGAACTTGAAGCAATGGCTTAGTTTACCTGATGGTTTCGTACACGTGGACGAAGCTAGGAAAGAAGGGACTGAGGGGTGCAGTATTCATCTTGGGGGTAATCTCTACCTTACCTTAGACGATGTCGGAGTGGATGTTAGAAAGTGGACTTGGGATCACGAAACTAAACAGCTGACAGATGATAAAGGAATTATTCTTTTTAAGGATCAATGGGAGAGGCTGAAGAGTTGCATTCCGGAGATGTTTGACTATGTTCCCGAATTGAAAGACATGATTCCTTGGATTATTGGAACTGGTAGATACCATGTGACAGGAGGATGAAATCCTGTGACATTGTACAAAGTTAGTCATTCGCTTCGGTAGACGGGGAACGGTAGTTAAGGACGAATGTCACGTGATTCGGATCACGAATAATAACTCGTGTTCGTTCGTCTCGCCATTACCTCCATAGACGTTGGAGTGCGAAGACGTGACTTAGTGCGTCTCTCTGGAAGCGATTTGAATATGGAAGCGTCTCACAGAGATATTCTCAGACGGAACCAGGCGGGACTCGTCGGAAGTATACGCCGTGTAGAAGACGTGGTACAAAAACTGATAGAGTGCAAAGTCCTCACCAAATTCATGGAAGCCGAAATTATGGAAAAATATCAAACGACACGATCGTATTAGAGAACTCTTGTACACCTTGCCAAGACTTGGACCCCGAGCTTACACCGCCTTCTGTAAAGCGTTAGAGGAATGCGGAGAGTCGGAAGCATTGAAGTTACTGGGTACGGAGACTGGATCGGACCTCAAGAATATGATGGACGTCTGCGGTTATCTCGACGAGCAAGTGGTTGCCGATTGAGCTACAATATTGCCCCCAAAGCTGGATTCGAACTCGTTGGAGAAAAGGTTGGACTCCTTTAAGAACTGGCCTATATAAATGAGTCAAGACCCACGAGATATGGCCCACGCTGGTTTAACTTATCTGAACAGAGGAGACTCTTGTACGTGTTTCAAATCGCGGCATCGTCTGAAGGAATGGAAGACCACGGACAATCCGTGGATCGAACCACGAAAAATGGTCCCCGACTGTCAATACATCAGAATGGTAGGAGTGTTCCAGACCGAAGTAGAGAGAGACTTTCCCAAACTCATCGTTTGTTTCCATAAATATATCTATGTATGTCCATACACGAATGAATGCTGTGTACATATGTACTTTCGAATAATTTAGGTTGTATAAATAAAAATAGTGCTTTCTTATCTTTGTGTCAAAGAGGTTCATTGGTTTTGCTGTATAAAAGTGGCGTTTTAGATATCAGTCGTTAGTTTGTCGTCATGGCTCCGTGGGAAGAGTACCTGAGCAAAATGTATTACGACCCGAACATCCCGGTAGTTATGCCGGTCCTAAGAAACTATACGAAGCGGTGAAAGCCGAGGGACGGTATAAAATTGGCTTACATAGAATCAAGAAATGGTTGAAGGAACAAGACATTTATACCATGACTCATCAGGTCAGACGAAAATTCCCAAGAAATGAGCACGTGGTTGAAGGTTTAGACAGTCATTGGCAATCTGATCTTATGGGCATGACATATTTAGCCAAGTACAACGATGGAATCAAATATCTGATGGTCGTGATAGACTTGTTCTCCAGATATATCTGTGTCTTTCCACTCGAGTCTACCAAGGGCCAAGAGGTGGTGAATGCGTTGACTGAGTTATGGAATACTCGAGGTCGGAAGCCTAATATTTTTCAATCGGAAATGAGATCAGAATTTAAGAATCATTGGGTCAAAGACTTTTTGAAAAAGCACAAAGTGACACAACTATTTACTCCGAACGAAATGAAATCTCCCTATGCCGAAAGAGTCATTAAAACCATCAAAATGAGGTTGTACCGATACATGTTGAAACGTGTTACTTATCAGTATATCGACATTGTACCCAAAGTAGTTAAAAGTTACAACAACACGAATTACAGAATGTGACCTCGAGGTCGAAGACGTTTATACAAATATTGAGAATCTTTCAAGAGGTCTACGATGTGAGTGTCCGGAAGAAGCTGGCCTTTGTACACCAGTTGTCCTCGATCCGTCCAAGTCAACACATCTCTGTTAATGTGGTTAAACGTCAACAGAGCGGCCCCGCGTTGACGATAAGGTTTGGGTAAGGTGCTCACAATTACTTCTTGGGACAAGGGTTTGTGCTCTTCTTCTTCCGGTACATCCCTCTCGGGAGTGTCTACTTCCATCTCTCTATCCCACACGATTAGTAGTGTTGACCAGATGTTCGTATTTTTCAAATGGCACTAGTACGTGCTTGGCAATATGCTGCATGATTATACGAATTGTAACAACAGGGCTACTGTTTTAATGGCTAGCACAACGGCGTTGACGTTTTTGATCAACAGGGTTTTTTTCTCAGCCGATGGGATGGATTTGTGAGCCAACTGTCTGTACACACATCGATGTCGTTTCAACTTGTCAGACGCCGATTTACTCAAGGGTAAACCGGTGTTATGTAGCACATTGAATACGATGGTGCATACTGCTTTTAATTGTTCCGGGGTGATGGATCGTAACAGTACTTTTTTTTGTTGGAGCGATGGACTTGCCACCAACATGTACAGGAAAGGTGTGTTCTGTCTGATGATCTTGAACATTATGGCGCTTTTCAAAGGATGTACAGCTATTTATAGTGTCTTAGACACATACACAATAGTGTCTTCTCCGGGGAAAATACTCGTTCTCAATCTCATTTTATCTTCCACTCGGGGTGACATGTCTATGACCAAATATCCATAAGGTCTCTTGACCGCATCCGTGTAAGCTTCCACTAAAATACCCACATGTCCAGGAAACAGTTGGCGCCCCAGAGTGGAAATTTGCGAGGCATCTCTCACGTTTTTAAACAGCACCAAGTACCAAGTATTCAGGGCAATGGTGGATTCAGATTTGCCCTGACCGTACAAGTTCTGAGTGATAAAGATGACGCTCAGATTTCGATGGTGACAACCTTGAGTGAACCAAAGTTCCATTTCTTTGGAAGCCATTACTTGCTGCAGGAGATCGTCCAATACAATCAACCCGTGCGATCCTGTAGCGAATGCTTCTATGTCTGATGGAGTAGGTAACCCCTGTTGGAAGGTGATGTTGGGTATAGTACGTTCCATGTCATCGAACAAGGGTTGGTAGACACCATAACAGTACAAAATCTTCTCGGGAGGGTCCTTCACGTACATCCCTGGTAAATGTTTCAGTAGTCTGTACACCGGTTGAGTCTTTCCCGCTCCTGTAGGTACAAACACACAAATACTGGAGCATGGTTCAAAAGGTGTTAAACTTTGCGTTTCCCACCAAGGTTTGGTGGGATCTACGACTGCATCAGGACTCCAGGTTATCGCACTCTTGGGGATGGTTGTTGTTACGGCATCTTTGTTCGGTTTGAGCAAGGGAGAGCGTTCTGCTATGTGGTGAACTTGAGTGAGATGATTGGAAAGTTTTGAAAGCTGTTTCGATGAGCATCCAGGTACGGGACAGTCCTTTCTGATTCAACCCATTGCATTGCTCGAAATATGAGGACTGACCCAGTGTTGGAAGAGTTTTCATATTTATACCTTCATTCATATCTTTTATATCCCGAAGAAACTTATGAGGGACACTAGAGGGACACAATAGGGACAAATGAGGGACACTAGAGGGACACTATAATGTCAGAGACACATCGATGATCTAATAGCCATAGGGTAGAGTATCTAAATTGGGTTGGATTACCCTTTTGGTATATACCATCCGATATTTCTTCTTTTCTACTCTGTTATATATTTTTTAGTTGATTTGGTCAAGCGATGTTTTGGAAGGGTTGGTGACTAAGATGTTCCCATCCCTGAATGGTTGCAACACTGTCTCACGGATGGTTCCAAAATTGATGAGTTGAGAGTTCATATGGTTCAACGTGAATCCGCAAGCGTACTTGGCAGGTTTCCTTGCCGCTTCTGGTTTTGTAGGCATAATTTTTGGCTCCACTGCTGACAAAAATGTTAATGGGATCCCCTTCTAACTCATTGGTTACTCCCCCGAGATAATCGCCAAGGGGTGGATTGATGTCACCGGGTTTACTCTTGAAGATGACGCTGTCTGTGTCCATGTAGAGTACACGCTCTTGCAACATGTCCAGGAGACCGTACAGTTTTAAGCGGGCATAGCATGTGGTGAAGGAAGCTATGAATATGTTGGTAGATTCGTTGTCCGGTACGAAGAATGTATCAGCATGGGACCAATGCGGTTGTAAAACTCTTGGGGAAAGAATGTGGAAATTCTGAATGGATTTTGATGGATCTGTGAGAAAACTGTAAAATGTCTCGAAGTCATTTTGATTGATGAATTTGGTCTGTTTCATATTGGAACGCTGCGCAAACTTGCCCCAGAAACTATTTAAAGACAGTTTGGACAAGGCTCTTAGTCCTGGATTCTTTTGAATTTTTTAATATTCTAGCTGTATTCCTTCATGTCGGAGATAGTCTGCGATGTACTTTTGCTTGTCAGACTCATCTTTACACCAAGCGGGCCATCCGGAAGATTCCTGTTTGATCTTTAGGAAGGTATTGATATAATCCGCGAACAGACCCCCCGTTCAGGTGTCTGGATCGTATTGAGTGCTTTCGGACCAATGGTACACTTCACACATTTTTACTATTTCGTAGCCTTTCTCCAAGGCTTTGAGAAGTTCTGGAGTGCAGAATGTCCCTATCAAACACCGTTCCACTTCTGTATGCTCACAATCCTCTCGTACCATATCTGCGCAAGTACGGCAGAGCGGGAACTTGAGTTTCCCATTGGAACGGTAAGGCAAGACGGGATGATAAAGGCCTCTGGGAGGTTGGATTTTCACTTTGGCAATGCCAAAGTATTGGTCCAAAGCCTTAAAGTTCCGCGTGATGATGATAGGGTGACCAACTGGATATCTTCCATACTTGTTGACACTCGGGTATAATGAAGTAAAATCTTGATACAGAATTTCTTCATCCTCTCTGGCTTCGTAGTAGAGTTTGATGGCATTGGTGCGACCTCCAAAAAAGCTGTCTCTGACATCCAAGCGTTCCTGCAGATCCAGTTTCTCGACATAGCTTTTGAGCTCAGACTTGCTTCTTACCTTTTCGGTAAATTCGTGCTCCCACACCGTGACCAAATTGTACCCTTGAGATTTCCAAAATTCATTCCTTTTCATGGTGAGTGCGCACAGTTCTGAAATGGACTGTTGCGTTCGTGGCAGAACTGTTGTGTCACGGTTGTGAGGGTAACATGTGGGACATCCGTGAAACATGCAACCGTCGAACTGATAGATAGTATTTTTTTCCCTACAATACCCATCCGCTGAGTATTTGTGACCCAGGATGCTAAATTCACCATCGTTCAATGCGTGTTGTATGCGAATGCCTTTGGAATGAGCCAGCCATTCCAGCCATTGAATAGACACTCGGCTGTATTGATCCTTTTTGGTGTAGCCTTCATGTGGGACTTGGGCTATTGGACTGGGTAAGGTTTCCTCTTCGACGATGGTAGCTCCCAGCTCTTGTCGTAAATCCTCCAGCAGTACCCATTCATTGCCTCGCTGAACAAATTTCATTCCTTCATCATTCTCCCTCAGTTGGAGCCAGTTCTCATCGTCGCAGTCTAATTTGATGTGACGATAGGGTTTCAGAAACTTTTCCTTAAAGACTTTCATACAGACACTGGCAATGGTAATGCTTTTGGTTGGATCCACGCCGTGTTTGATAACTCGTTCCACATCGAGACCCATTTTAGGATCTTTGGTCATCTCTGTCTCTCTGGTGATGCTGATCATTAGATCTCTAAAAACCATGACGGACCGCCTCAGGATATCAACATCAGAACGGCAGTAGGTTTCCATTTCAGCGGCAAAATCGAAGATTTTGTCTCCTTGTGCCGCTGTGCCAGTCCAGAAAAGTTATTCTGTCTTTGGGCTCCATAAAATCAATACCATAGTACGCAGGGTCCGGAATTGGTCCTATGTAGTTTTGATGTTCGTGAGTATTAAAGAAGTGTGGGAAATAACCCTTTTCAGCTCGGTTAAGTGAAACATCTTTGGTAGATGAATAGTTTTGTTTTGGAGCTGTGGGTTTCTATTGTGCGAATAAATTTGTTGCCCATTTCTGCACTGAGGACCAGTATTTCGCAATTCAGCACTTTCTCAAAGTCGGGAATATTGGCTAGACTCGAAGGGTGATCTTGGGGCAAACCGGCACGATGCATTAATTTTTCAGCAAACATTTTTTGAACTACACTCTTTGGATCTTTCATGTTTGCGAATAATCGGGGCCACATTTCTTATGAGTTATAATGAGATCAAATTCATCTTGCCCTGGATGTGCCTTTGACCAATTCATTCCATTCTTTTCGCGTGACTCAGTAGGCTCTGGCTAAGGACACAGAGATAGATCGCGCCAAACAGAGTTGATCCTGGTTGCGTATTTCAACAATGGATTTCTTTAATTTGATGCTTTCCTTACATTGGTAATTTTATGGTCACTTCCAGCCCCTTTTGGCATCTCGATCATTCCAACATCTACTTCGAATGAGGAGTCCAGTTTCAAATCATTGTGGCTGGCTAAAGTTTTGGAAATGGTGTCTAGGACAACTTTGGCATTAAGATCCTGTAATTTACTGAGAGGTACAACAATAGCATTCGCTAGACCTTCGTGGCGAATAACAACGCAACCCAAATCATTGTCGCCAAGATGTCCTCTGGCTCTCCTTAAAACATCGTCCATCATACTGTGAAGTTCATCTTCCAAGTCTTGCAATCTTTGTCCTTGCCATTGTTCATTAAGTTTGACCTCATACATTCGCTGGATGGCGGCGTTTTTAGCAAAAGTCTTTTCATTCCGAAATGAAACTGTGCAGGGCGCTTGTTCTGATCCCCCTGTTGCCGCAGTGTCAGTGCTAAAGAACACATCCTCGGGACTTTCGGGATTGACGGGAGCTCGATCGGGACTTTCAGGGTTAGACTTGGGTCTACCGAATCCTGTCAGTAATGTTCTCGGTGAATCTTGGTTGACCCCTGGACTAATTATTGGTAGGAACTGAGTAAAGTCTTGCGTGGATGTGTTTGGAGAGACTGGTGTTATTTGCCCACTGGTTGATGGTCCAGCTGGCACATTTGATAATGAACGCTGTGTGCATGCAGATTGATGTCTTCTAAGATCTAACATTTTTTTGAAAATCTGACCACAACGTCTTCGAGGGATACTCTTTCCCCTCCCTTGATCGGAGGATTTCACATGTTTAAGAGAAGGTGTTGTGCTTTCATTACAGTCACTGTCGGCAATACAAAGAGCAGCCAGCTCAGCCGCTTCTGTCTCTTGCTCGTGAAGAGCCCTCTTGACACTTTGTAAGGAATCGGCAGAAGGGTCGTCCTCCCAGTCCCCGTCGGCAATACAAAGAGCAGCCAGCTCAGCCGCTGCCTCCTCTTCGTCAGGAAGAAGTCTCTTGAGTGATTGTCAGAACCTTTTGGGAGACGGACTGTCATTCCAGTCCCCGTCGGCAATGCACACAGAGGCCAGCTCAGCCGCTTCTTTCTCTTCGTTATGCCGAAGTCTCTTAAGCGACTGTACGGATGTTGCAGAAGATGGGTCGTCCTCCCAGTCCCCATCGGCAATGCACAAAGAGGCCAGCTCAGCCACTTCTTCCTCTTCATCAGAACGAGGCCTCTTGGGTGTGACAACGGAGGTTGGAGAAGTCGGCCAGTTGACCGGACATTGGATACCAAAATGCACGAAGTCGAGTTTTTCTTCTTGCCTGGTCATGGGGAGTGGTATATGCGCTTGATCCAGAGCAATTTCATCGCACATGAGTTTAAATTCATGCAGGATGACGTACTCTTCATTCTCAAGGTCATGTCTTAGGGACCAAGCTCTGAGATCCTCGCTCGATGTGAACGAATTCACTATTTCTTTATCAATAGAACGGTACTTGTCTATCTGAAACATTATAATGATACCATGCCTAAAATAAATATATTTCATGATACAGTAATTCTAATTGGTGTTATACTAAAGGAAACAATAGATCAGGTCAAGACATTCACGATGCCATTATTTTCGCTCGATTCGATAGCATAGAAACGACGTAACAGTCTCATAACCCAACTACAATAGAAGATGACGTCGTAAGCCGCCGCTGACATGTTCACGGGAAAGGTCTTTGGGAGAAAATGTCCTTAGAAAAAGATTTTTAAAATCAGATGAAAAGGAGGCGAGAAATCGCCGAAAATAAAAAAGACGTCTTTTTATGATGTCACGTGACCCATTTCTAACTTATATCGATCATTACTCGGTCTGTATGGGTCCGATCTCGATGCGGATTAGTGCCGCTTCCGTTTCCGTTGGTATAAATACTCGCGTTTTGTTTAAAAAACAAATGATTCAAATAAAATTGGAAATCGACCCCCAAGATAAGGTAGTGAGAATATTTCTTAGTTGAGAGTGTTAATACAGCGCATTTTTTAAAACATTATTACGGTACCTATAATTTACGACAGTGAATAGCTTTCGATGACTGTAACTGGAGTTCTAATGGATCGATTTAAACGAAACTTTTTGCATTATTTCCAATGTTGAACTAACTTTTTATTGATCGGTGCTACCAAACACGTTCGTTTGAGAGACATTTTTACATGATCGGCGTCCTATTATTTCATTTGTTATTCAACGCAATTCGCAAACAAACAAAAATCAAGAGAATACTCCTTTCAGGGTCATTCCCATTATTTTGCCTATTGCCAAAATGACAGCTGCAATTGTTTGAAAAATTACATTTAAAAAACCAAAACGAAAAAAAACCGAAAAGATTCTTCCCGATCTATGTTTATCGCTTAGTACGAACTGGCATGTCTTTGTTTCGTGAACGCTAATTACAACGCGAGTTGCGTCAGCCGTACCCCATGATTTCATAACATTTTTAACCAATGGCAACTTCGCAAAGACCATTTCATTTTTGAAACTTGAAATCTTCTTAAAGTACCTCTTCGTGACTTTGACGTCACTTGCGTTATGGCTTCCGACTTAAGTACATCTCGTGATCATATCGTCTGCATTCAGAATGAATTTGTCCTTTCCTATGGGAGTATTTCGGTATTTGTTTTACTTCTGGAAACACGATAACATTATTATGTTATAATATCGTTATTAATTGCAGTTAATTTGGTTTGACTGTTTTTTCCTATGTTTTTTGTTTGTTTAACAGCGTTGACGGCACCTCCTCTCCCTCCAGCGTGTCATTGCTGGATACAACTTTGAATTATCCGTAAGTTCTTTTTCTTTCATTTCTTAGGTAAATTTTATTAGAATGTAATGTCAACAAAAGAATTTTACGAACGAAGGATCATTGGATTACAATTTTTAACGAGTCGTGTTCATCTTTGCCCTTTATTTTCATTTTAATTTCATTTGTAGTCTCTGAAGCAGCACTCCTGTACATCCAGGGCGGTGGGGTAGCCTAGTGGTTAAAGCGTTGGCTCGTCACGCCGAAGACCCGGGTTCGAATCCCCACATGGGTACAATGTGTGAAGCCCATTTCTGGTGTCCCCCGCCGTGATGTTGCTGGAATATTGCTAAAAGCGGCATAAAACCAAACTCAGTAAGTAAGTCAGTAAGAAGACACTCAAGCGGCATCTTTCTTACGAGGGAGAAATGCCATCCCCCGTGTAAGTCGCTATTTTACTACATTTTGCATCTAGAAATTGCTTTTAATGCGCGGTTGACTCGTATACATTTTTGCGCTTGATTTGTCGATAGTCTTGATGCTTAGGCGTTTTATTCAAAGGTTTCTTGTACGATACCATGTTATATAACGTATAATTCAAAATTTGTTCTATTTCTTTTTGCTTTGAAGGGATAGAAAGGGAGACACGCTGACTCCCTACTCCACTCGGAAGTCGCCCTCTTGGGTGGAGAGTGTAGAGGAGAGTGCTCCCAAAAGGGCGAGAAAATGTCTCGCTTTTGGGGGAGAGACCCCGACAACGTAAGTCCACATGTTACTACATTTACAAATAGAAATCGCTTTTAATGCGTGGTATATACGTTTAAACCAACCCATAGAAAGCATTTGCTTGATTTAATGGTAGTCTTTTTTTCTGTTCTGCGTGATACAATGCATACGGTCTCTGATAATTCTAAATTTGTTCTGTTACTTCTACTCTGAAGGGTGTTTGCTAGCACCGACTCCGACGTCCCCGAACTCGCCCTCCTGGGTGGAAACACCAAGTCTGAGGCAAGTGAGTATCATTCATTCATTCATTTCACTCATTCATGTCATGAATTAAATTTGATAGATGCGACAGTTAACCAGTAATCTTAACTTTGTTAAATTCAAATTCCAATTCCTTTTTTTTTAATCCTTTCAGAAGATCATACTCCTTGTGGCAGCCTCAAGGCAGATGCTCAGGGAAATAGAGCAACAATTAGAATTTATTTAGAAAATGATTACTATTTTGGCTGATTGGGAAATTAAAAAATTTAAAATCTAGAAAAAAAAAGAATTAAGACAAAAATAGAGGAACAGATAGAGTTTATTTAGAAAACCATTACTATTTTGGCTTTTTGGGAAAGTAAAAAAAACGAAACTTTTAAATTATAAAAAAAATTAAAACAAAAACTAAAACTAAAATTCTATGAAATTGGGGTCTTTTGGAATAATGTGTTGGGGGGTTCTTTTATGATATATGTCAACCGAGTACACGAAATCTCGGCCGCATTATTATAAGAGATTCACCTGACTAAATGAACGACAGAACACCGAGGAAAACGAGGATTTCTCGATATCTGAGCGCTCTTGGAATTTACAGTGGATTTATTGTGCTTTAGGATTTGTTTATTCGTTGGAACGTCATCGACATACTGTGAGTATTGTGTGTTTTTTATTTGTTATGGTCAATAGCGCTGTCACAAATCATGATCCTTGCGAGAGAGATAAATTAATTTTCCTTTGTTCCCCGTATCGTGGGCCGCTCCCAAATCACGGTCCTTGCGCGTGAGATGAATGACTTTTCCTTTGTCTCCCATATCGCGGGCCACTCTCGCGGAAACTGTCAACGAGGCTCGTTTAGGGCTGGGGGTCGTTTATTCTATCAGCCCTAACACGGCATTCTTATACCAATGGAATGTAAACGGACTCAAATGGTATATGAATGAACTGGCTTATAAATAAGGGCTTGTTACTACACCGTTTTCGTCTTTGTTTTTTCAAACCGTCAGTTCATTACGATCAGTTTCACGTACTATATAAAAAGGAAGTTGAAATCAATCAATAAATAAATAAAAAATAAAATTATGTAATTCGGTTCTCACCTCAGTTGAAATTGAATTTGTGGGACCGTCACACAGTTTTCAAACGATGACTCGAAGGAAATGACGCTGACGTAGGGATGCTACGTTCATATATAGTTAGTTAGTTATAGGCTTTGTTCTATCGGTACTCCTTTTGATTGGCTAAATTATGATCACCACTCATCTCCAAACCATTGTATAGTGAGGGACACTATTGGAAACAAGGAGTGCGATTCGACTTTGACCATTTTTGGCATCGCGTCTTTCGTGACGTCATTGACTCTTTGTGTCCTGACGCTCGGGATAGGCCACGCCCCCGGACTGTTTTGATCGAAAATTCGATCAAACAGAGGTATATACAACAATTGTCTCAACTGAAGTAATTTCCCAAATGAATGTATAGTCTGTATGAAATAGAAAGAAGCAGAAATAGTTTCAGTCTCTTTTAATAACTGTTTGCTTAAGAGGTAACAGGGCGGATAAATTTAAGTCAAAAGTGAACACAGGGGCGTGTCATGCTTAGAAACAGCGTTAGAAAGACATATAGGTATATAGACCCTACCCTAGTACTATATAAAAGCCTTTTCATAGCTTCTTAAAATATCATCCAAGAAACAACAGCTGGCTCATGGCCCTACAATAAAGGCTTTTATATAGTATAGGGTAGGGTCTATATACCTATATGTCTTTCTAACGCTGTTTCTAAGCGTGACGCGCCCCTGTGAAAGTGAACGAATCTGATACTTCCTGTATTTTGTTCTGCGCATTTATCATCGGGAGTCAATTACTAAACTATCGATAGTCACACATATCGATGTATCGATAGTTTTTTGTTTCAACTATCAATTAATTGCTATCGGAGACTCAACAATTGAAATCCATCGATAGTTCGATATATCGTTAGTATTTACAAAACCATCCATGCATGTGACCTTAACATTTGATCACAATTAAATCTCTCATCGTGCATGTACTGCACGTGCAGGCAGAAGCCAAAGTGTGAGGGAATTCGAACCCGGGTTTCTGCGTGACGAGCGAACGCTTAGACCACAAGGCCACCCTAAACAAACAAAAAAACACACACACACACACACACACACACACACACACACACACACACACACGTTATGAGACAGAAATGGTATTTAATGGTGTCACAAGTAAGGTATACATTGTAAAAACATATTCAAGAGACATATAACACACTTGACAACCAGCCACGTTTTGGCTTATAGCAATGACATAGTTAAAGTATTTAATAATATCAGGGTAATGCTATTTTTTAAGGCTTCTGCAAATGACAATGCCCTCAAAAATAGCATTACCCTTATATTATAGCTAAAATACATGGAATTTGTGTTGAAAAGAAAAAGGAAACAATGAAAGAATATGACTGTAAGTTTACTCAAAACCAACTTCTGATGGAGTTGACTGCCCGAATGCAGTTACGTCATCGAACAATTCAAGTGACGTCACAACAGAACGAACAACATTAATAGTGCAATTGTTAAGGTTAGCACCAGCAAGAAAGCCAACATTACCGCTTTTTAAAGCGGATATTCGAGTTGCTTTGACTTGTTTGCCCCAGAATATCTGCCAGTCCAAAGCCAATGTCGAATATAAGGGTAATACTATTTTTGAGGGCATTATCATTTGCAGAAGCCCAAGGTCTTCCATTAACTAAAAGACCTCGGGCTTCTGCAAAAGAGAATGCCCTCAAAAATAGCATTACCGTTATTATTGCTTAAATACATGGAATTTGTGTTGAAAAGAAAAAAGAAACAATGAAGAAATTTGACTGTAAGTTTACCCAAATCAACTTCTGACGGGGTTGACTTCCCGAATGCAATTACGTCATCGAACAATTCAAGTGACGTCACAACAGAAAGTGACGATATTCGACCTTGGCCTTTGACAAGACCATAGCCTGCAACATGTCAAACTATGTCAGTGTTCGGTTTGGGTCCATCAACAGCCTTAATAATGCAATTGTTAAGGTTAGCACCAACAAGAAAGCCAATATTACCCCTATTTAAAGCGGGAATTCTGGTTGCTTTGACTTGTTTGACCCAGAATATCTGCCAGTCGAAAGCCAATTAATGTCGAATGAACCGTAAGCCCACGCACCCACTATGACGTCACTTGACAACAGAACTGATAGTGGCCCCTCGTTGAGCGGTCCAATATCATTTGCAGCGGCCCGCAAATTTCTGATAATGGGAGGGCCGTTTCATGATCATTCCATGTATTTTAACTATAACACAAAATATACACAGCCTGCGCTCTAATGGGATGGGGGTCTTTTGCTATACTCTAAAACTTTGTGAAGCAGTCTGTCATCTTCGATTCTGTTGAGTTTTACAAACCATCTGAAGCATTCGATTCGTTGTTTAGTTAAACACAAGGATCATCCACTGTGCGAAATAGCCACTGGTCCGCTAGCCAGTGGCCAGTAAAATCCAGTCGGGCCAGTAAATATCGACAGTCACTGACCCGACTGGCTAGTGAATTTTCATGGGGTCATCTTGTAAATATACTCAGCAGCAAAAAAAATTAAAAAATGTCAGTACGAATTCCAAATTAGAGAGGCACTGTAATCAAATCCTTACATAAATGGACATAATAGGCGGATCAAAAACATTTTTTGTGTACAATATCTTGACACATCAATGAATAACTCAGCACAATTCCTAGACATTACGTGAACGTTTGCAGTCCATTAAGACAAGACCGCGATGTTGTGCGACAGCATGTACAGAATCCCTTCATGCAGGCATCCGAAACGGCACGCCAGACAGTGGGAACACACGGAAGACGAATCAGTACTGATACAGTACGCCGACGTCTTAACAGCGGGAACCTCCATTGCCGTAGACCTTACCGTGGACCTATCCTCACCCCTCGTCATCGGCGTGAACGTCTACAGTTTGCCCTACAACATCAAAACTGGCGATACAGGCAATGGAGAACTGTTCTGTTCACAGATGAGAGTCGGTATTGCGTATCAACTGCAGATGGCAGAACAAGAATATGGCGACGACGTGGCCAGCGTTACTAAGACCAGTGTGTTATGGAAAGAGGCTCATGGGGAGGTGCAAGCATCATGGTATGGGGTGGAATAGGCCTGAACCAGAGAGTAGGTCCTGTGGTGTTCCAGAACCTTGGTCCAGGGAGAGGAGGCGGCATCACATCGGTGCGCTACATCGACCAAGCTCTCAGACCCCGCGTCATACCACATTTCGCACGTCACCGGAACAACATTTTCCAGCATGATAATGCCCGGGCCCATACTGCCAGAGCTACACGGGACTTCCTACAGCACAACGGTGTCAACATTATGCAGTGGCCAGCCCTTAGTCCTGATTTAAACCCAACTGAACATCTTTGGGATGAAATTCAGAGGAGACTGAATAATGTCATACCAAGGCTGAACACAGCCGATTTATTGCGCCAGGCTTTCTCAGAGTGTGGTTCCTGGTTCCAATGGCTTTCATCAATCGATTGGTGCACTCCATGCATAGACGCTGTGCTGCAGTTATTGCCGCTCGTGGTGATCTCACTAGATACTGAAGTCGTTCACGTAATGTCTTGAAATTGTGCTGAGTTATTCATTGATGTGTCGAGATATTGTACACAAAAGATGTTTTTGATCCGCTTATTATGTCAATTCTGTAATGATTTGATTACAGTGCCTCTCTAAGTTTGAATTCGTACTGACGTTGTTTTTGCTGCTGAGTATATATATATCGGCGGTCCGTAAATCTGGAGGAATCTGGACCTGACAATCCAGTGATCAACAGCATGAGCATCGATCAAATTGGGCTACGATGACGTGTCAACCACGTCAGCGAGCCTGACCACCCGATCCCGTTAAGTCGCCTTTTACGACAAGCATGGGTTACTGAAGATCAATTCTAACCTTGATCTTCACGGGTCGAATTCATGTTGAAATTAAGAACACTTGGTAATAGTTTTCCAATCAATATGTTCTGCAGATCGGGTTGCTTTGCCTCGGAAACATATACGTGTGCCAGTCCACCCAGCTGCGAATGGGTATACCTCGTAAAGATGGGAAAGTCACATTAACGTGGTGCGCCTATAGTGGCTGCAAGAGTTGTATGGTCCCAAGGGAGTTGAGATTGAGAATATGATGAGCCGTTGAGATTGACACCAGATCGAGGGAATACAAAGCGCGTTTGATCTGGACATTGGCGCTATACAAATATTAGTATGTATGTATATGAAGAAAGACCAAACTGACCTGTTTTTAATGAAAATACGGGAATACGATTATATTTTTATCCCATCTTGACATCAAGTTCCACAGCGTGGGGAAACTGACATAAACCCCTTTACGGTTATACCCTGGAATGCACATTCAGCGCGGGCAGGAGATGGCAAACACAGAGAAAAAAACAGTCTATCGTTTGGGAAAGGGAAAATCTGCACGTACGGTTAAAGGTCTTTCGTTAAATTATGGCGGTGTGGTAGCCTAGTGGTTAATGCGTTTTCTCGTCACGCCGATGACCCGGGTTCGATTACCCACATGGGTACAATATGTGAAGCCCATATCTGGTGTTCCCCGCTGTGATATTGCTGGAATATTGCTAAACGCGGCAAAACTAAACTCACTCACTCACTTTGATCGCAACCCGTGAAGGTCCGGGTTAGAATGAACCTTCAGTAACCCATGCTTTTCGTACAGGCGACTAACGGGATCGGGTGGTCAGGCTCGCTGGCTTGGTTGACATGCTCATGATGTTGATCACTGGATTGTCTGGTCCAGACTCGATTATTTACATATAGCTGGAATATTGCTGAGTGCTGTGTAAAACTAAACTCACTCACTCACTCACTGTGATCGCTGTCCAGATCCAGATCGTGTGGTACAAACAGCAGTGTAGAGGATTTTACGTACGCTTAGTTGAATATCTACGAGTGATTGAGCAGAACCAGCTACGACGGTAGGGTGGCTGATTATTCTAACCTCTGGATGATGTACATGCCGTCATTATCGGGTTTCGTGTCTTGCGTGTGTAATTTTCCATAAGTACAGGCCTCGTTTGAATAAAACACACAACTAAGCAGCTTATTTTTGCATTCACCAGTGCTGAAAACTAAGTGGTGCACTGGTCCGAGTCAAGTATACTCTCAGGAAGGATCAGGAGAAATATAGTGTACTGTTATTTTGGGGACGGATTCCAGAGAAACACAGGAACGTGTCAAGGAGGCCAACAACACACTACTGTCGGTAACATGCAACAACAAAAAGGTGTGATAATCGAGTCTGGACCAGACAATCCAGTGATCAACATCATGAACATCGATCTACGCAATTGGGATACGATGACATGTGTCAACCAAGTCAGAGAGCCTGACCACCCGATCCCGTTAGTCGCCTCTTACGACAAGCATGGGTTACTGAAGGTTCATTCTAACCCGTATCTTCACGGGTAATATTGCTGAGTGCAGCGTCGAAAAACAAACTGATGCTTGAACAAATGAAACAAGAAATAGATATTTGTTTGACATATGATGTTGATACCATGGTTATGTTTTCAGTCTCGTGGTAATTGTTTGCAGCCTTGTAACCTTTTGAGGAGTGTTACCGTTAGATAATCTCATTTCCGAGCATATGCATCATTTGCCCAGCAGTTTGTTTGTCAAGATCACAAGTAGTGTATGTCTGTTTTATCTTATATTTGAGTACCGGTGTGACAGGTTTGGAGTGAGGACCTGCGAGCAAGAGCAGTGATGTAAGCAGTGAGAGATTGTTTGTGTTGAAGGTGTGCAGTATGAGAGACCATTGTATGTATCTGGGTGTCGTACAGGGCCCCGTTCCTCAAAGCGATCGTAGCGCTGCGACAGTCGTAACTCCCATACTTTAACATAGACTTACGACTGTCGTAGCGCTACGATCGCTTTGAGGAACGGGGCCCAGAACGACATTAGCGCTAAGTCTTTCGTAAAGCTACGTTGAAGTATGGGACTTATGATCACCTTAGAGCTAAGGTTGTTTTGTACAACGGCACCCTGGGTAGTAAGCTTGGGGTCAATCAAGCAGCTTAGGGGGTATATAAAGACTGATTTGAAAGTTGTGAGTTGCCAACCAGTTGGACAGTGTATGTGTGTGTCAGGTTGGCTGTTTTTCCTGTATATTCAACTGGTGTGAGTATTATAATTTTATGTTATGTCTTAGTGAGAATAGGTCAATGAATTGTTTGTATATGTATTGAGATTTGATGGCATTTCACTTTAAAATATGTAACCTTAACTTAGGTGCAATATATGTAATAGTATTGTTGAGGTTAGTAATATGATGGAATTGTGATTTATATGAAAGCATTTGGGAATGTCCCTAAGTTAGTATACTGGCGTAATAATATTCAGTCAGCAGTCATGTGTAATGTGTAGGGGTAGTATTGTGTATCAAGTGACTGTAAAACAGCCCTGTAAACACATCATGTGTGTCTGAAATGTATATATCGTGTATGTGTAAAGTCACCAAGTACATGGTGTACCTTTTGTATCCAGTGTCCGGGGTAGGTGTTACACCCCGTAAGGCTGTCCCGCCGATCGTGAGGGATCGATCCTGACAGGCCGTCTGTGATGTGAACTGACATCTGTGTGTCTGGGGAGAGTGACGTGTAAGGCTGTACCGACTGATCGGCAGGGATCATAGTGACATGCCGCCGAAGTGTGTAAAGATTTACATGCAGGGGAAGGACCCCTAACCTACCACTACAGAACTGAACTGTTTGAAAATCCCACATGTAGTGATAACAACATCGACAGTGATTTGTACAGTATACAATAATTATTGATTTGTGCTTTCAATCAATTTGTTTATTTCTTCCATCGTCCATGTATATAATGTAATGATATGAATTGATTGTTTCTTTAAAAAGACATTTGTAGTGTTGTGATATTTTGAGGAAGGATGAGTTGTGATATAGTGTACCGTTATTTTGGGGACGGATTCCCGAGAAACACAGAAACGTGGTGATCAACATCATGAACATCGATCTACGCCATTGGGATACGATGACATGTGTCAACCAAAGTCAGAGAGCCTGACCACTGCGATCCCGTTAGTCGCCTCTTACGACAAGCATGGGTTACTGAAGGTTCATTCTATCCGGACCTTCACGGGTAATATATGCTGAGTGCAGCGTGGTGAAAACAAACAGATGTGCGTACTTGTGTGTGAAACAAGGAAACCGTGTTGTGTTTGGTGATGTGAGAATGAAGTTGGGAATGCAAGTCTCTTTGAACTATTGTAAGGTAAGGTAGAGTTTAGTTTTACGCCGCACTCAGCAATATTCCAGCTATGGCGGCGGTCTGTAACAATCAAGTCTGACCAGACAATCCAGTGATCAACAGCATGAGCATCGTTCTACGTTAATAAATTATATTAACTTTTAAATCTGGTTTTGTGTTTACTCTAGTATGTGACATTGTTATCATAGAAAAAGTAAAATTATTATCACTTTTATATGTCATTTCATAAGCATGAGGGGCGGTGGGGTAGCCTAATGGTTAAAGCGTTGGCTCGTCACGCCGAAGACCCGGGTTCGAATCCCCACATTGGTACAATGTGTGAAGCCCATATCTGGTGTCCTCCGCCGTGATGTTGCTGGAATAAAAGCAGCGTAAAACCAAACTCAGTCAGTCAGTAATAAGTATGGGAGAAAATGTGAGTGAGTGAGTGTAGTTTTACGCCGCACTCAGCAATTTTCCAGCTGTATGGCGGCGGTCTGAAAAGAATCGAGACAAGACCAAACAATCCAGTGATCAACAGCATGAGCATCGACCTGCGCAATTGGGAACCGATGACATGTGTCAACCAAGCCTGCGAGCCTGACCACCCGATCCCGTTAGTCGCCTCTTACGACAAGCATGGGTTACTGAAGGTTCATTCTAACCCGGACCTTCACGGGTGGGAGAAGATGTAGACATAAAGGTTTGTTTAGAATGGAAGTATACTCAAACAACTTCACAACTAGTACACCCACTAGATGCTTGATTGGCATTTTAGATGCTATTAGATGGACATAAAGAATTTTCTCGATTTCATCTTCTTTTTATTCTTTGACACACTGTTTTGGAGTCAGTTCTGGCCCCATCATCAGGTAAAACTAATGAACAGTAACTCTTATCACTGTTACACTCACAGATGTCAAATTTTCCTGACTCACAGACCAATTTGCTTCGTTTCACAAATGAAACCACGTTTCAAGGCTGACCCCCTGTCTGAAGCCCAAGGCCAACCAGCAAAGATGGCATTAACAGTTGGGTTGATCAACAAGAGACATTCTCCCATCTGTTTTCTGGGAGCACCTGGCTTAAAGCGGCCGTACATGACGTCACTTCCGTCCAGCCACTTGAACTTGTTGTTTACATCATCATACGTGCCACCAAGCCACATCCCTCGGACCTCTGCAGGCACTGAAATAACGTTGACATGTCATCAAGGTACTGTCAGGACATCTTCCACTCACACATACCACTGTACCAATATAACATATACGCACGTATCTTACCTTCATGTAAAATACTTTAATTTCATTGGTCAATGACGCTTTAACAAGTTTCCTTGTCTTACCTTCATGTAAAATACTTTAATTTCATTGGTCAATGACGCTTTAACATGTTTCCTTGTCTTACCTTCATGTAAAATACTTTAATATCATTGGTCAATGACGCTTTAACAAGTTTCCTTGTCTTACCTTCATGTAAAATACTTTAATTTCATTGGTCAATGACGGTTTAACAAGTTTCCGTGTCACCCCTCCAAGGAGGGTGACAACTGGAAAATATATTACCCGCTGCAACGGTAACCGCCAAGCTCTCCGCCGAGAAGCTGACGGGCTAACAATCGTATGACGTCATAATATGACGCATGCCGTGCCCGGATCAGTGGCCGTATGCACATGTTGGGCGTAGCTAACCTCAGGCGTAACACACTACGTCGGGCTTAGCAGCGCCCTCCTTTTACACGTCATGCACAACGTCGGTTAAGCCTAGGCGTTACTACGCCCGGCTTAACGGATTTACGTCAAGGCGCGGTGTGCTATTTTTAGATTTTCGAACGTTTTTAAACCACCGGTAAAAGGCGCGAAACAACTTCGCGGTACATCCCTGTCAGCCGTAATCATGGAAAGCCAAAGAAAACCGAGAAAACCCAACTTTACCGATGGATCCTGATGGAGAAATAACATGGACTTTCAAAATGGGCTTCACCATAAATGTCGCCATATTTGACACATTACGAAATCACGATTCACAGCGTTATTTGGTGTATGTTTTCAAATGTTCAAATCGGATAATTACTTCTCAGATGTATTGAATTTCAAAAATAGCATATTAATGATCACTGATATCAGGTTTTCATCAAATCACTAATGATAATTCTGAAAATACACTTGTAAACACGAACGCCGAAGTGCGCTTTCCGTCATATTGGATAGTGTTTACAAAATCAAGTTTCGCGGACGACGGTAATGAGACGCCAATTACATCCCGTGTATATCACATTTATACCTGCGACAAATGCATCACTGAATTCCCCATACATTTTAGAATCAAATTACTAATGGTCTTTGTCACCAATATCAACTGTCTGGATAAAATGAAACGAAAGATATTGAGTGTCAAAAGTCCAAACGAACGCTGTGCTCGAAAGGCTGCGCTTGTAAAGAAAGAAAAATTCCGATTTTATACTACGTAGCATTTTCTGAAATTTTCCGACATGCAGCCGTCTATTCATTGCTTGCAATGGCTCAATAGCTTTAGAATATGCATGGAAAGAGTATCGTAGCAAGAAATGGGAAATTAAATAAAGAAGCAATGCAATCATTTGATATTTCATAAGAAATTGTCGAAGTGTCCGTGCAGCGTGACGCCATGACTGACGCAGAACGACAAAGGTTTTTATCAGCATTTCTGGCTTCTTCTCTTACTTACAATGAAAACGATAAAACATATAACAATACACATATAGTCAGAATCATTCTGATTACTTACATATCATATTTATGTACAAACGATCCCTGAATCAAGAGAAGGGTCCTCGCAAAATCCTGTGTACCCTTGTCAGCGTGGCCGCCATTTTATAAGTAATCGGTCGGTGGTAGTGATGTCATACGTCAACATTGTTGTACATGTTAGACAATTTCTTTGAGGTGAAGGTCGGTTGAACAAGTGTAAACACAATCGCCCTATCCTTCCGATTACACTTTCAGTATTATGATGTATACTTTGCGTATCGTTCAGATATTTTTTCATCAAAGTATTTTCAGTATATACATTTAGCCTTGTTCAATACCATATTATACCTGGATATAGGGTAGGCGTTTTTTATTCTTTGAAAGTTTTTGATTGTTTGAATAATATTTACATAAGAAATTGGCACACGTAGCCATAACTGCAAAATATTTGGGTGTTGTGAAATATTATTTTTCATTTACGTTAAATTGATGTCAAACAGGTGCGCGTGTTGTTCACAATAAGATACGCAGTCAAATCGTCTAATTATTGATATATTCAGGACACTATTTAATTGGTAAAATCATTCATTTTATTTTTGGTCTAAAGAGTGTTAAATTCAGACATAGAAGCCGAGACCTTTCATACAATTAATGGAATTTAGGTAAGATATATACTAATCAGCAAACCAATGTCGTCTTTTTCCGACGTCGCAAAATGCATATAACAAGCCATGACGTCAACTAAAATGTTGTATTATTATCAGTAATTTCATTACATTTGAAGATATGGCTAGTACTCCGTTAATAATGATGCAAAATTAGTCAATATACATCTACACAAACAGGAGAATATAGGAATCTAAGAACTAACTTACATATCGGATAGGGCCATCCAAATCGCTATTCTGCTTTCTCAAGTAGTACATTGCCATCTTTTCTTATAAATTGTGAAACTACCAAAACGTATCCGCTCACATTGGGGAACTTTGTAATGGAATTGTTTGGTTCACCGTGAACACAACATAACGAAAATATAGCGTAAGTATCCACAACAACTTTTCTCCAAGTGATCTGAGTAACATTGACCTAGTGTTAAGCATAACTAAGTTATGCCCCCTTATCTTTTATACGTGTATGACCTCTCTGTCGTCAGTTGACGTCATAGAAGAAAATCCATTTTTGACACTTATTGCGAGTCATTTTTAATGTTGAGCGTCTAACGTTATGCATTAGCACATAAACCCAATTCATATACACTTATGTCGTTCAGATATCAGGCTGTGTTTTCTTCGCTCACACTTTCTGTAAAGATGCCAAATTAAAAAAAATCGTAGCAGAGTGCTTTTATCGGTGCACGACAAAAAGCGGAGAAATTGACAGTTTCTTAACGCGTAACAAAATTTTAGACAACATTTAGCAGTGTCTATTTCTCAAACCGCCGAGGTAGTCGCACTTATATTTATACCAACGGATATGAAATTAAATATTCTACATTTCTGTGTAATTTTATAGCCGTACGCAGATCCAGGACCCCGCGAGCGCAATTCTCGCACAACGTTCACTTTTAAAAACTTTTGAAAATGTTTCGCCTGATAAAAAAACTCGGCATCCAGTGCCGCCATTACAAGGCTACGCCTGGCTTACGCCTGCTGGGTAGGTGGCGTAAATATAGAGCGCTACGACTGGCGTAACTTTAACTACGTCTACTATGTGCATACCGGTTAACGTTACGTCCGGGCGCACATTTTACTTACGCCCGGACTAGAATTTACGCCCGACATATGCATACGGCCACAGGTGTTTTTGTGTTCACTTTGTACAGATTTATTTTACCGACTTTCACTGCTTTATTTAAACTATTTTATACATTGAGTGGTTTGCACACTCAACTTAAACATAATTTACAATTTTTATAGCAGTTTTATGCTTGTCAGAATATGCTTCACTGATGTTAAAAATCCAGTCGAGAGGCAGACGCCATTTTGTTTGCATGTCATATAGTCGGTAGCGACCTTTAGCATAAAATAAAATGATATTTTGTACATTTAACATGGCGGTAAGATAACTACGTTGTATGCTTCTCCCTCGGGTAATACGGTCTTATGTACGCCTCTTTGTAGCAGTGTCATCCCTCGCCTACAGGCTCGGGTGACACTGCTACAAAGAGGCGTACAGGCTCGGGTGACACTGCTACAAAGAGGCGTACATCAGACCGTATTACCCTCGAGAGAAGCGTACAACAAAAAATATAATGTCACATCTCCCAGGAGGGTGACAACTGGAAAAAATATTCCCCGCTACGGTAACCGCCAAACTCTCCGCCTAGATGTTGTATCACTAACCATCGTATGACGTCATAATATGTGTGTACGGAGTTCGAAAACCGTTCGATTAGCTGTTTTGGGGTTTACTTTGTACACATTTATTTTACCGACTTCCACTATTTTATTGAAACTATTTATACATTGCATCGTTTGCACACTCAACCTAAACATAATTAACCATTTTTATAGCAGTTTTAAGCTTGTCAGAGTATGTTTCGCTGATTTTAAAAATTCAGTCGAGAGGCAGAGGCCATTTTGTTTACATGTCATATAGTCGGTAGCGTGCTTATTGATCTTCAAAATAAAATAAAATAAAATGATATTTTGTACATTCAACAAGGTGGTAAAATAAATACGTTGTCAATCTCTCCCTCGGGTAATATGGTCTGATGTACGCATTTTTGTAGCAGTGTCATCCCTCGCCAGACCGTATTACCCTCAAGAGAAGCATACAACTTATAATATATTTTACAGAGACACGACGAAGACACGTGCAACTTCGGACACAACACGAAGTAAACTTTTCCATGAGGGATAAAGAACGTGCATCAGGTGAAAGCTGTTGAGAAGGCATCTGCAAAAACGTTGTCAAGAACGTACATCAGTATATTGTCCATAGCAATTACCAGTTTTGACTTGTACCATTCGTTCCCGTGTTTTATTTTCAGGCGAACCATTGGCGTGCCTTGCATACGTTCATGAAGTGTACGACAGGGGGTAGAATCCGTTTTTTTGCGATCACCAGCTACATCACTACTTGATGATAAATCATCAACACATGCTCATGATATAGTCCAAAAAGCGCAATCGACTCTTGCGGAAGTGGAAAATGTTTTGTTGCTTTTAAGTACTGGAACTGCAACATTGATTGATTGGTTGTTGTTTTACGCCGCACTCAGCAACATCCCAGCTATATGGCGGCAGTCTGTAAATAACCGAACCTGGACCAGACAATCTAGTGATCAACAGCATGAGCATCGATCTACGCAATTGGGATACGATGACATGTGTCAACCAAGTCAGCGAGCCTGAGCACCCTATCCCGTTAGTCGCCTCTTACGACAAGCATGGGTTAAGAAGACCAATTCCAACTCGGACCAAAGACAAGTCCAATAGAAATGTGGACACACATCAGTATGAATGATCTTCCACATATACAAACCCCCCCCTCTCTCTCTCTCTCTCTCTCTGTCTCTACATACATACATACATACATACATACATACATACATACATACATACATACATACATACATACATACATACATACATACATACATACATACATACATACATACAATATTAATAATAAAGATAAATTAAATAAATATAAGTAAGTAACAAATTAAAAATCCCCAACAAGCTAGATATGATATAGAACAAACTTTATGGACAACTTGTTTTTATTCGTGAGTGCGACGTTTCGATACAGATTCTTGTACCGTTGTCAAGCATAATTGAACATGAAGAAGGGAGAAGTATATATATACTGGTTGTAACAATGTAACAAAGAAAACAACATAGTTAACATAATTGGCTAGGCAGAAAGCTGATGAAGCCAGAGAGTAGACAAAGGACAGGCGTGGAAGCCAATGATGTACAAATAATAATGAGATGTTTATACAGCAGAGTTTATACAGTAGATTGGGCTTGGTGGATATGCCACTCAGAGAAGCTAGATATGGACGTGTCTATATGAAACTGAGATGAGTCACTACATGTTAGATGAAATCGCGTTACCTTGAAGGCTTTCAAGCTGCTGGGTTATGAAGGTATCTTCCTCTGGGGTGTTTATCGAAGCCAGGTCTGCCCCATTGCTTCTGCAATAATTTCTCCCATCAGCCCAGTATGCGTTTGTCAAATTGAAGAAATAACAGGACATCTTCCAGTTCACGAATCCAGAGGGACATCCTGAAAAATAGTTTTTATGAAGATGGACTTGTATATAGTAATCCTGGCGAGCAACAATATACTAGTATTTAGAGATAGATTGTTTGTTTGTATACGATGACATGTGTCAACCAAGTCAGCGAGCCTGGCCACCTGATCCCGTTGGTGGCGCCTCTCGACAAGCATAGGTTACTGAAGACAAATTTTAAACCGGATCTTCAAGGCTTTTATGTTTGGCGTCGAATGATCAAAGGAAGGTATTAATGATTTAATAATAATAATAATAATGAGAAGTCTTATCTCCAATCTCTAATCTCCACGCAACCAAGCATGCTCAAAGTGCTAACACCCTGATTATTATTACCCCTGATAACCCAAACTGCCTGTTAGGCGCTAGAAGGTTATAGTCACATGTCTTTATCCAACCGGGTACCCATTTTCTGCTGGATGAACAGAGGCAATTTTGAACAAACTCACTTGCCTAAGGTGAGACCACATGTATCACATGTGCTTCGTTGTGGGGCAGGACTGAAGTCCTAGAAACTCTCAGGAGTCAAGCTGTCAAACACGGTCACCCATCCAAGGACTGTCCGAGCTCGACGTTGCTTAACTTCAACTGATTCGTGACCTGCGCTCTGTGCACAGGACCACACGCCACCACCAGTATTGATTTGTGACTATTAACAAGAAAGACTAGTGATTCCCTGCGTCCACTTGTAAGCAAGGGAGTGTTTAGATTTTATGTGTTCAGATTGTTAAAAATTGATTGTGGTGCACACTACTCAAATGACATGTTTATTATCATTATGTTTTAGAGATCACATTTGCAGGTGATACCAACCACACCGCTGACTACCACAGAAGAGGTGTGTGTTGGGTGGGGTGGTGAGTGGTAGGGGTAGGGGTAGGGGTAGGGGTGGGATGAAAGATTTAGGGTGGGAGTAGGCGGAAGTGTTAAAATGCAAGTTTAAAGCCGTTTTCTGTCATGCCATACTGGGATGTTTGTTAGGTTGGTTAACGCCGCACACAGCGATATGCTGTAAATAAATCGGGTCTGAACCAGACAATCCAGTGATCAACTCCATACTCCAATATGAGTATCGATCGACGCAATTGGGATACGATGACATGTATCAACTAAGTCAGCGAGCCTGACCACCCGATCCCGTTAGTTACCTCTTCCGACAAGCATGAGTTACTGAAGATCTTCACGGGATCTGTCAATTGTACGCGGGTTTGTGAGTGGTGAGTGCTACCAGTTAGACAGGACACCTGGTGTTATTACTGGTCTTCAAAGTTACATACACATGGCTCTTATCGCTATTGGTCATACCCGTGAAGATCCTGGTTAGAAATGATCTTCAGTAACCCATGGTTGTCGTAAGAGGCGACTAACGGGATCGGGTGGTCATGCTCGCTGACTTGGTTGACACATATCATCGGTTCCCAATTGCGTAGATCGATGCACACGCTGTTGATCACTGGATTGTCTGGTCCAAAAACAAACTCTCTAACGTACAGGACCCGTGAAGATCCTGGTTAGAACTGATCTTCAGTAACCCATGCTTGTCGTACGAGGCGACTAACGGATCGGGTGGTCAGGCTCGCTGACTTGGTTGACACATGTCGAGACAGGTCGTTCAACGACCTAGAGGTTATGTACTTAAAGAAATAAAGTGTTGAAATTCTTTTGGAAGCGAGCACAAATTTCATATTATATCAATCTAATATAATTCCCTGGTCCGGGGAAAAATTAATATGACGTACCACTGCCTGTAGTCGTTGTTGCCTCCGTAGTCGTTGTTGCCTCCGTAGTCGTTGTTGCCTCCGTAGTCGTTGCAGCGGTTTTTCCTGCAACAGTTGTTTGTATGCTTTTGGTTGTTGTAGTATCAGCTTGCTTGAAGGTCGTGGTTCCACTAGCAGTGAAGGGGCAAAGAGCGGAGTTACAGTCATCGGTACTACAGCAATCAAAACATAGACGTGCTTCCTCCTCCGACAACACGTAGCGGCGGCGTCCGAATATCGTTTCCGCATTCTTGTACAGGGAACAGATCTGTTAAAAAATGAATTGGGTCATCCTAGTGTTGGGAATTGGTTGAAATCTCACAATTGATGATTTGTTCAATACCAACGACCAATCATCGAAAAAAAATTGGTTAGCGTCAATTTTTAGATTTTCCTATTCAGGTTGTAGTTGCAGATAAGTATAAAGAAAAAACATTTGGTTCTCTGTTGTTGTTTTTGAAACTGCACAAATTACATTTGCAGATTTCACATCCAGTGTAAAATGATTCAGTTCCAGTGTAACATTAACTTCCCAGATTCTTCAGGAAATATTCAGTCATGGCTTTTCAGAAAGTGAAGTGAGTTTTCTAAGAATTAAACACGTTTTCCGTCCCTGACAACGTCCTAGATATGTTCCATCATCAAGTATTTCAAACTCTATTACAGCGGTTCCAAAATCGTTTATGTTCGATTATGAGAAAATGTGATCGATTGCTTGGTCGTTTGGCCACTGCGACCAATATTCGATTATTTCAATTAATCGGACCACCACTAGGTCATCCACACTATCGCCAGGATTCGCATTTCGGTAAATCTACTCCAAGCGCCTGGATCTCGTGAAGATCCGGGTTAGAATTGGTCTTCAGTAACCCATGCTTGTAGTCAGAGGCGACTAACGGGATCGGGTGGTCAGGCTCTCTGACTTGGTTGTTGCATATCATTGTAATTGTATCCCAGTTGAGTAGATCGATGCTCATACTGTTGATCTCAGGATTTTCTGGTCCCGACAGTTGTTTACAGACCGCCTCCATATAGCTGGAATGTCCTCCCTCCCCACAAAAATACAGAACAAAAGACAAAAACATACAAAGAAATCAATACAACAGACATGATTATTACCAGACCGCTGCCATATAGCAGGAATATTGCTGAGTGCGGCGTTAATGGTTCCACTACACTAAATCGGAATCACATGCTTCCTGAGCGAGAACCGTATATGTAAACATCTGAAGAGATAGAGACATATGACAGCTGTGATTGGATGAAATAGTGTAAGATTTTTATGTTTTTAAAAGCACATCCATCCAGTAATTAAAACTGACCACAATTTTAAGTATTTAGTGCTGTCATTTTTATCACCATGAGTTATGCTTATTGTGTGTACATATATTTTCCAGTAGGTGACATTTGGTGCGGAACTGGGGTTGATGTGTTCCGCTTCCTGTGCTCGGAATATAAGCCAGACACATTGTACATGCTTCGCCATACATATCATCCTCATACCACGCCCCGACCCCCAGCCATACATTTTGTACGGTTCCTAAATCTAACATTAGCTCAATGAACATATTACATAATCATTTAACAACGAGGTAGACATACCTGAGAGCTTTCGCATCCCATCCGATAGGCCTGCTTGTCATGGTGATCTATTATCTCCCGAGTGAAGCAAATCTACAAGCGATAACATTGTCATTAAAGACTGGTCTTGTGTTGAGAGGATGGTGATCGAAATGTGGTACAACCCAGTGTAGGATGTCAGTGATGTACCGTTGGCCATTTTCGTCTTCGTCACAAGGGTCAGGTTTACAGTGGGCGTGAGAGGCACCCCAACACCATCAGTATGTCTCCTGCCAAACGGTACTTGCTCCAAAATGTTCCTTTGTGTATGGGGCGGTGGGGTAGCCTTATGGTTAAAGCGTTGGCTCGTCACGCCGAAGACCCGGGTTCGAATCCCCACGTGGGCACAATGTGTGAAGCCCATTTCTGGTGCCCCCAGTCGTGCTGTTGCTGGAATATTGCTAAAAGCGGCGTAAAACCAAACTCAGTCCTTTGTGTATATACAGTGTTTCTGCGACGTCAGACATGAACTCGGCCATCGGCCAAATAGTAAAAATAATCATACGAACAAATAGAGGATACTAAACGACCTTTCGTGTAATACCATGTTTATTTAACGAGTTAATGATTTGGTATCAAACGAGTTTAATAAAAATGGTATTTCACGGAAGCGAGTTTAGTATTCTGTTTATTACTCTTGAAATATACATTGATAGAAACTGCCTACAGACTCTCAGCTTTGCGACAGAAACATTAGAATTGTGACGTCATAACTGTAACCATTATGAAGTCATATGTCTAGCGATATTACACTAGTGTAATATTAGATGCTTGATTGGCAATATATTGGCAAATTATTACACTGCAGTATCTTCCACGGACGAGTAATAAGCAGAATTATGATATGATTCTACCATGAATCAAGAAAATACTAGATTCTGATTGGTTGTTCAGAAAAATCAGACGGCATCAATTGTGGATTGACGCTCATCTGATTGTAAGGCCGCTTCACCGCGCATTGACAAATCTTATTGTGAGAACTACTTCCGTTTGACCACAATGATGGCGGATCATAACAACAACTCCATGGATTTTGACGCTGACTTTCGAATATTCCACATAGGCAATTGGAAATTTTTGGATTAAAAATGCGTTTGATTTCATTGCGCTTCACTGCCGCACTACTTCAGCTTGACCACCAACATGACTAATATCAACACAACAGACGTGATGGAAATGCTGATAAAACATTTATTTAAACTCGAAAAATACAATTATATGATTTCCCCCCCCCACAATTACGAGGGAACCTCACTATCATATTACCTTCTATTATAAAAATATTCAAACTCAGTTACAATACACAGCCCCAAACATAAACAAAACAATATCTAACATATAAATCGGAAAGCCTTGTAAAAATACATCCCTATCTATACAAAATATGCAGCAAAACATTATTAAACATTTACCTACCTGGTAAATGGTATATTTAATTCCCCTTAGAATGGGAAATTTGCAAGATAGATCTAACGGTCTGGCGAAACACGACATTTATGCCACTCACAGTCATACTCCATCATATCCCGTTGCATCGTTCACAAAATAATTCTGCTCTCTGCCAGCTTCCCTGCAGGGTTGTCACTGTTATGTTCATCTACTTTGAAAAACGCTTGGACACAGTCCAGTCCCAAACGATGAAGGAATCACAAGTTAGTCGCATGTACACTAAGCAGTAGCACTGTCACCCTTTTGTCGCATGCCGGGGTGGAGGCAGTACGTGAAACCATGATCGGCCGGTCATAAAAATCAACAGTCTTTGATGAGTTACAGGTCGTAGGTTGATCAGGAAAGGATCTATTCTTCGATTCTGCAGGGTTCAGATTCGACAGTCAGTCAAGTATTGCCCACTGTTACTTCAAATTTCAACCTTTCGCAAAATGTAAACACTGGCTCGCCCGCCATTTCGAACTGTTGCGTAACTGTCTACTTCGAAGAAAATAATTAGGTCAGACGATTCCATTATAGTGTGGCCAGGGGGGTACAGTTTCACGTCACACAAAACAATAGGCTGGTTTTAGTCGTGTGGAGTTGGGATGAAAACCCAAGATCTCGGGTATTACATAATTGCATTGAATAAACAGTAGTTTGATTTCTTTGGACAGAATATTGTTATGTTGTAATGTTAAAAAAATACGAACGGCACCTACCGTTCCCTTCACAGACGAGTTCAATTCGCCTCTCGACCCATGCCGGACTACGCAGTGTCTTCCGCAGAGCGAGGAAGTTCGATTTTAAATGGTTCATGGTAGAATGGAGATAACCCTAGTGTGTTTGAAAATCAGAGACATGCTTTACTGAATTGATGACGACTTAATATATCAATTGAAACCTCACGCTACGCGTTCGGTTCCAATTGAAATTTAGTCGCCATCAATTCAGTGAAGCATGTATCTGATTTTCAAACACACTAGGTTTATCTCCTAAATATAAATAGCTATATAGGGTTAAAAATCATAGGTGTTGCGTTACTTTTTGCGACACTCCATGTGTATGTGTCATAACATGTACTGACATTCACTTTGATACAGTTATCGTCGTTTTAAAGCGTCACAAATGCAACGGCTAAGATACATTTCTTTTAGTAATTTCAGAACAAGGTCATCTGGATTACGGTTACGGTGTTTGGGTACGTACCTCGCCATGGCCACATATGCTGTAGACTTCGCAATCAGCCGGGTCAGACACATGGTCACATTGCAGGCATCGTAGGTCACTTCTTGACGTTGGGAATCCTGATACACAGAGTTTGTTTCTTGAGGAACTCCCCAGGGAGTTGAGATTGATAATACGATGTGCCGTTGAGATTGACATCCAATGATAGAGGGGAAAAATACCAGCGCCTTGAGCATGCACTAGTTGCCTGGATATGTGCGCTATATAAATATCCTATAATAATAATAATAATAATAATAATAATAATAATAATAAAAAATAACTATTCACTCTACAGTATGCCAAACATATAACCTGTGAAGATCCGGGTTAGAATTAATCTTCAGTAACCCTTGCTTGTCGTAAGAGGCGACAGACGGGATCGGATGGTCAGGCTCGCTGGCTTGGTTGACACATATCATCGTATCCCAATTGTGTTGATCGATGCTGATGATGTTGATCCCTGGATTGTCTGGTCCAGACTCGATTATATAAATGGGATATTGTTGAGTGCGGTGTAAACAACCAACCAACCAACCAACCAACCAACCAACATATTGTGGAGGCATGTAACGAATCGAGACCAGATAACCCTGTGATCGAAATCATGAGAATCTCTCTCCGACCTCAGGGATGTGATGGTATGCAGCAATCAGCGAGCCCAACCACCCGATCCCATAGATTCTTGAAGATCAATTCCCGTTAATTACTAGAGAGTTTAGACCAATTCCAATTCCCGTTAATTACTAGAGAGTTTAGACCAATTCCAATCCCCGTTAATTACTAGAGAGTTTAGACCAATTCCAATTCCCGTTAATTACTAGAGAGTTTAGACCAATTCCAATTCCCGTTAATTACTAGAGAGTTTAGACCAATTCCAATTCCCGTTAATTACTAGAGAGTTTAGACCAATTCCAATTCCCTTAATTACTAGAGAGTTTAGACCAATTCCACCCCTGTTAATTACTAGAGAGTTTAGACCAATTCCATTCCTGTTAATTACTAGAGAGTTTAGACCAATCCAATTCCGTTAATTACTAGAGAGTTTAGACTAATTCCAATTCCGTTAATTACTAGAGAGTTTAGACCAATTCCACCCCTGTTAATTACTAGAGAGTTTAGACCAATTCCACCCCGTTAATTACTAGAGAGTTTAGACCAATTCCAATTCAGTTATTACTAGAGAGTTTAGACCAATTCCACCCTGTTAATTACTAGAGAGTTTAGACCAATTCAATTCCCGTTAATTACTAGAGAGTTTAGACCAATTCCACCCGTTAATTACTAGAGAGTTTAGACCAATTTCACCCCCTTAATTACTAGAGTTTAGACCAATTCAATTCCGTTAATTACTAGAGAGTTTAGACCAATTCCAATTCCGTTAATTACTAGAGAGTTTAGACCAATTCCACCCCGTTAATTACTAGAGAGTTTAGACCAATTCCAATTCCGTTAATTACTAGAGAGTTTGTTAATTACTAGAGAGTTTAACCAACTGTTAATTACTAGAGAGTTTAGACCAACCCAATTCCCGTTAATTACTAGAGAGTTTAGACCAATTCCCATTCCGTTAATTACTAGAGAGTTTAGACCAATTCCACCCCCAGTTAATTACTAGAGAGTTTAGACCAATTCCAATTCCCGTTAATTACTAGAGAGTTTAGACCAATTCCCATTCTGTTAATTACTAGAGAGTTTAGACCAATTCCAATTCCTGTTAATTACTAGAGAGTTTAGACCAATTCCAACCCCGTTAATTACTAGAGAGTTTAGACCAATTCCACCCCGTTAATTACTAGAGAGTTTAGACCAATTCCACCTCTGTTAATTACTAGAGAGTTTAATTACTAGAGAGTTTAGACCAATTCCCACCCTGTTAATTACTAGAGAGTTTAGACCAATTCCACCCCGTTAATTACTAGAGAGTTTAGACCAATTCCACCCCGTTAATTACTAGAGAGTTTAGACCAATTCCACCCCGTTAATTACTAGAGAGTTTAGACCAATTCCACCCCGTTAATTACTAGAGAGTTTAGACCAATTCCATTCCAGTTAATTACTAGAGAGTTTAGACCAATTCCAATTCCGTTAATTACTAGAGAGTTTAGACCAATTCCAATTGTTAATTACTAGAGAGTTTAGACCAATTCCACCCCGTTAATTACTAGAGAGTTTAGACCAATTCCAATTCCAGTTAATTACTAGAGAGTTTAGACCCACCCACCCCGTTAATTACTAGAGAGTTTAGACCAATTCCACCCAGTTAATTACTAGAGAGTTTAGACCAATTCCACCCCGTTAATTACTAGAGAGTTTAGACCAATTCCAATTCCAGTTAATTACTAGAGAGTTTAGACCAATTCCACCCCGTTAATTACTAGAGAGTTTAGACCAATTCCACCCCGTTAATTACTAGAGAGTTTAGACCAATTCAATTCAGTTATTACTAGAGAGTTTAGACCAATTCCAATTCCCGTTAATTACTAGAGTTTAGACCAATTCCAATTCCCGTTAATTACTAGAGAGTTTAGACCAATTCCAACCCCGTTAATTACTAGAGAGTTTAGACCAATTCCAATTCAGTTAATTACTAGAGAGTTTAGACCAATTCCAATTCCCGTTAATTACTAGAGAGTTTAGACCAATTCAATTCCAGTTAATTACTAGAGAGTTTAGACCAATTCCAACCCTGTTAATTACTAGAGAGTTTCCAGTTAATTACTAGAGAGTTTAGACCAATTCCAATTCCGTTAATTACTAGAGAGTTTAGACCAATTCCACCCAGTTAATTACTAGAGAGTTTAGACCAATTCCAATTCCGTTAATTACTAGAGAGTTTAGACCATTCCATTTAGAGAGTTTAGACCAATTCCAACCCCGTTAATTACTAGAGAGTTTAGACCAATTCAATCCCGTTAATTACTAGAGAGTTTAGACCAATTCCACCCCGTTAATTACTAGAGAGTTTAGACCAATTCCAATTCCAGTTAATTACTAGAGAGTTTAGACCAATTCCACCCCGTTAATTACTAGAGAGTTTAGACCAATTCCACCCCGTTAATTACTAGAGAGTTTAGACCAATTCCAATTCCCTGTTAATTACTAGAGAGTTTAGACCAATTCCAATTCCAGTTAATTACTAGAGAGTTTAGACCAATTCCAATTCCGTTAATTACTAGAGAGTTTAGACCAATTCCAACCCCGTTAATTACTAGAGAGTTTAGACCAATTCCACCCAGTTAATTACTAGAGAGTTTAGACCAATTCCATTCCCAGTTAATTACTAGAGAGTTTAGACCAATTCCATTCCTGTTAATTACTAGAGAGTTTAGACCAATTCCACCCCGTTAATTACTAGAGAGTTTAGACCAATTCCAATTCCGTTATTACTAGAGAGTTTAGACCAATTCCATTCCTGTTAATTACTAGAGAGTTTAGACCAATTCCAATTCCCGTTAATTACTAGAGAGTTTAGACCAATTCCAATTCCCGTTAATTACTAGAGAGTTTAGAGACCAACCCGTTAATTACTAGAGAGTTTAGACCAATTACGTTAATTACTAGAGTTGGAGACCAATTCCACCAGATTAATTACTAGAGTTTAGACCAATTCAATTCCGTTAATTACTAGAGAGTTTAGACCAATTCCCAATTCGTTAATTACTAGAGAGTTTAGACCACCCAATTCCCGTTAATTACTAGAGTTTAGACCAATTCCAATTCCAGTTAATTACTAGAGAGTTTAGACCAATTACCAATTTAGACGTTAATTACTAGAGAGTTTAGACCAATTCCAATTCCGTTAATTACTAGAGAGTTTAGACCAATTCCAATTCCAGTTAATTACTAGAGAGTTTAGACCAATTCCAATTCCGTTAATTACTAGAGAGTTTAGACCAATTCCAATTCCAGTTAATTACTAGAGAGTTTAGACCAATCCAATTCCGTTAATTACTAGAGTTTAGACCAATTCAATCCCGTTAATTACTAGAGAGTTTAGACCAATTCCAATTCCCGTTAATTACTAGAGAGTTTAGACCAATTCCAATTCCGTTAATTACTAGAGAGTTTAGACCAATTCCAATTCCGTTAATTACTAGAGAGTTTAGACCAGATTCCAACCCAGTTAATTACTAGAGAGTTTAGACCAATTCCAATTCCGTTAATTACTAGAGAGTTTAGACCAATTCCATTCAGTTAATTACTAGAGAGTTTAGACCAATTCCATTCCGTTAATTACTAGAGAGTTTAGACCAATTCCAACCCAGTTAATTACTAGAGAGTTTAGACCAATTCAATTCCCGTTAATTACTAGAGAGTTTAGACCAATTCCAATCCCCGTTAATTACTAGAGAGTTTAGACCAATTCCAATTCCCGTTATTACTAGAGAGTTTAGACCAATTCCAATTCCCGTTAATTACTAGAGAGTTTAGACCAATTCCAATTCCCGTTAATTACTAGAGAGTTTAGACCAATTCCAATTCCCGTTAATTACTAGAGAGTTTAGACCAATTCCAATCCCCGTTAATTACTAGAGAGTTTAGACCAATTCCAATTCCGTTAATTACTAGAGAGTTTAGACCAATTCCACCCCGTTAATTACTAGAGTTTAGACCAATTCCAATTCCGTTATTACTAGAGAGTTTAGACCAATTCCACCCCGTTAATTACTAGAGAGTTTAGACCAATTCAATTCCAGTTAATTACTAGAGAGTTTAGACCAATTCAATTCCAGTTAACTAGAGAGTTTAGACCAATTCCAATTCCAGTTAATTACTAGAGAGTTTAGACCAATTCCAATTCCGTTAATTACTAGAGAGTTTAGACCAATTCAATTCCGTTAATTACTAGAGAGTTTAGACCAATTCCAATTCCCAGTTAATTACTAGAGTTTAGACCAATTCCAATTCCAGTAATTACTAGAGAGTTTAGACCAATTCCAATTCCGTTAATTACTAGAGAGTTTAGACCAATTCCAATTCCAGTTAATTACTAGAGTTTAGACCAATTCCAATTCCCGTTAATTACTAGAGAGTTTAGACCAATTCCAATTCCCGTTAATTACTAGAGAGTTTAGACCAATTCCAATTCCCGTTAATTACTAGAGAGTTTAGACCAATTCCAATTCCCGTTAATTACTAGAGAGTTTGAGACCAATTCCAATTCCAGTTAATTACTAGAGAGTTTAGACCAATTCAATTCCCGTTAATTACTAGAGAGTTTAGACCAATTCCAATTCCCGTTAATTACTAGAGAGTTGAGACCAATTCCAATTCCCGTTAATTACTAGAGAGTTTAGACCAATTCCAATTCCCGTTAATTACTAGAGAGTTTAGACCAATTCCAATTCCCGTTAATTACTAGAGAGTTGAGACCAATTCCAATTCCCGTTAATTACTAGAGAGTTTAGACCAATTCCAATTCCCGTTATTACTAGAGAGTTTAGACCAATTCCAATTCCCGTTAATTACTAGAGAGTTTAGACCAATTCCAATTCCGTTAATTACTAGAGAGTTTAGACCAATTCAATTCCGTTAATTACTAGAGAGTTTAGACCAATTCCAATTCCAGTTAATTACTAGAGAGTTTAGACCAATTCCAATTCCAGTTAATTACTAGAGTTTAGACCAATTCAATTCCAGTTATTACTAGAGAGTTTAGACCAATTCCAATTCCAGTTATTACTAGAGAGTTTAGACCAATTCCAACCCAGTTAATTACTAGAGAGTTTAGACCAATTCAATTCCAGTTAATTACTAGAGAGTTTAGACCAATTCCAATTCCAGTTAATTACTAGAGAGTTTAGACCAATTCCAATTCCGTTAATTACTAGAGAGTTTAGACCAATTCAATTCCGTTAATTACTAGAGAGTTTAGACCAATTCCAATTCCAGTTATTACTAGAGAGTTTAGACCAATTCCAATTCCGTTAATTTACTAGAGTTTAGACCAATTCCAATTCCAGTTATTACTAGAGAGTTTAGACCAATTCCAATTCCAGTTATTACTAGAGAGTTTAGACCAATTCCAATTCCCGTTAATTACTAGAGAGTTTAGACCAATTCCAATTCCAGTTATTACTAGAGAGTTTAGACCAATTCCAACCCCGTTAATTACTAGAGAGTTGAGACCAATTCCAATTCAGTTAATTACTAGAGAGTTTAGACCAATTCCAATTCCGTTAATTACTAGAGAGTTTAGACCAATTCCAATTCAGTTATTACTAGAGTTTAGACCAATTCCAATTCCGTTAATTACTAGAGAGTTGAGACCAATTCCAATTCCAGTTATTACTAGAGAGTTTAGACCAATTCCAATTCCCGTTAATTACTAGAGAGTTTAGACCAATTCCAATTCCCGTTAATTACTAGAGAGTTGAGACCAATTCCAATTCCCGTTAATTACTAGAGAGTTTAGACCAATTCCAATTCCCGTTAATTACTAGAGAGTTTAGACCAATTCCAATTCCCGTTAATTACTAGAGAGTTTAGACCAATTCCAATTCCCGTTAATTACTAGAGAGTTTAGACCAATTCCAATTCCCGTTAATTACTAGAGAGTTTAGACCAATTCCAATTCCGTTAATTACTAGAGAGTTTAGACCAATTCAATTCCAGTTATTACTAGAGAGTTTAGACCAATTCCAATTCCCGTTAATTACTAGAGAGTTTAGACCAATTCCAATTCCAGTTATTACTAGAGAGTTTAGACCAATTCCAATTCCCGTTAATTACTAGAGAGTTTAGACCAATTCCCAGTTAATTACTAGAGTTTAGACCAATTCCAATTCCCGTTAATTACTAGAGAGTTTAGACCAATTCCAATTCCCGTTATTACTAGAGAGTTTAGACCAATTCCAATTCCCGTTAATTACTAGAGAGTTGAGACCAATTCCAATTCCCGTTAATTACTAGAGAGTTTAGACCAATTCCAATTCCCGTTAATTACTAGAGAGTTTAGACCAATTCCAATTCCCGTTAATTACTAGAGAGTTTAGACCAATTCCAATTCCCGTTAATTACTAGAGAGTTTAGACCAATTCCAATTCCCGTTAATTACTAGAGAGTTTAGACCAATTCCAATTCCCGTTAATTACTAGAGAGTTTAGACCAATTCCAATTCCAGTTATTACTAGAGAGTTTAGACCAATTCCAATTCCCGTTAATTACTAGAGAGTTTAGACCAATTCCAATTCCCGTTAATTACTAGAGAGTTTAGACCAATTCCAATTCCCGTTAATTACTAGAGAGTTTAGACCAATTCCAATTCCCGTTAATTACTAGAGAGTTTAGACCAATTCCAATTCCCGTTAATTACTAGAGAGTTTAGACCAATTCCAATTCCCGTTAATTACTAGAGAGTTTAGACCAATTCCAATTCCAGTTATTACTAGAGAGTTTAGACCAATTCCAATTCCGTTAATTACTAGAGAGTTTAGACCAATTCCAATTCCAGTTAATTACTAGAGAGTTTAGACCAATTCCAATTCCCGTTAATTACTAGAGAGTTTAGACCAATTCCAATTCCAGTTATTACTAGAGAGTTTAGACCAATTCCAATTCCCGTTAATTACTAGAGAGTTTAGACCAATTCCAATTCCAGTTATTACTAGAGAGTTTAGACCAATTCCATTCCGTTAATTACTAGAGAGTTTAGACCAATTCCAATTCCAGTTATTACTAGAGAGTTTAGACCAATTCCAATTCCCGTTAATTACTAGAGTTTAGACCAATTCCAATTCCAGTTATTACTAGAGAGTTTAGACCAATTCCAATTCCCGTTAATTACTAGAGAGTTTAGACCAATTCCAATTCCAGTTATTACTAGAGAGTTTAGACCAATTCCAATTCCCGTTAATTACTAGAGAGTTTAGACCAATTCCAATTCCAGTTAATTACTAGTGAGTTTGATTCAACCTTGCTTATAGCAGTATTGGTGGTTAGTTCACGGCGTATGTTAGCTTAGTGTGGAAGGGAAAGCAGGTCATTTACAGATTTCATTTGCTGAAACTGAAACAATCGAATACATTCAGCACAACCTTTCTTCTTAACCAATCCGGGGCGGTGGGGTAGCCTAGTGGTTAAAGCGTTGGCTCGTCACGCCGAAGACCCGGGTTCGAATCCCCACATGGGCACAATGTGTTAAGCCCATTGCTGGTGTCCCCCGCCGTGATATTGCTGGAATATTGCTAAAAGCGGCGTAAAACTAAACTCAGTCAGTCAGTCAGTCTTAACCTATCCATGCATGCGTGAGTGGCTGTGTTACCAAACAAACTATCATCATTTCATTTTTGAAGCTTTCTGAAAAATGCATTTCTTCAAAACAAATTAGATATTCTCATATATTTCACTCCCTAAGATTTTGTAATCTTTATCAAAAGGGAAATTAGGAATAAACTAGAAATGTTTTCATTTTCTTTTATTGGTAGTAATTCATTACACTCACTTTGTCGCTTCCTTAATGTTGTTGATGAAGACAGCCCGTGGGAGAACAGCACCGCAGCACAGGCCACCTACCAAAGTGAGTGAGTGAGTGAAATATATAATGGCATGTATGCTTGAGTGAGTTTGATGTTACGCCGCTTTTAACAATATTCCATCAACATCACGGCGGGAGACACCAGAAATGGGGTTCATACATTGTAGCCATGTGGGGAATTGAACCAGGGTCTTCGGCGTGACGAGCGAACGTTTTTACCACTAGGCTACCCCACTGCCCCTAATGTGTGCTTGAAGTGAGAGGGACTAGCGCAGTTTTTGGGCCCTTGCCAGTTTTAGTGATACCAGGTACGGCTATGGTGACCACAGATCAGGTTCCGGGTTGCATCTGCAGAACGGATTGCAGTGTCAGCAACGACCGGACTGTTCACGACTCCAGATTTAAGACTCCACGATTCCATCTCATAGGATGACTATAAGCATGTAGATTGAGGCGAGATGAATGCTATCGTGTAATGGTGGATTGGGGCGAAATGAATGCTATCAAGCATGGTGGATTGGGGCGAGATGAATGCTATCAAGCATGGTGGATTGGGGCGAGATGAATGCTATCAAGAATGGTGGATTGGGGCGAGATGAATGCTATCAAGCATGGTGGATTGGGGACGATGAATGCTATCAATAATTGTGGATTGAGGCGAGATGAATGCTATCAAGCATGGTGGATTGGGGCGCGATGAATGCTATCAATAATTGTGGATTGGGGGAGATGAATGCTATCAATAGTGGTGGATTGGGGTTAGATGAATGCTATCAATACTTGTGGATTGGGGCGAGATGAATGCTATCAAGCATTGTGGATTGAGGCAAGATGAATGCTATGAAGCATGGTGGATTGGGGAGAGATGAATGCTGACAAGAATGGTGGATTGAGGCGAGATGAATACTATCAAGAATGGTGGATTGAGGCAAGATGAATGCTATCAAGAATGGTGGATTGGGGCGAGATGAATGCTATCAAGAATGGTGGATTGAATGCATCGAGATGAACTATGTGGATTGGGGCGAGATGAATGCTATCAAGCATGGTGGATTGGGGCGAGATGAATGCTATCAAGAATGGTGGATTGGGGCGAGATGAATGCTATCAAGAATGGTGGATTGAGGCGAGATGAATGCTATCAAGAATGGTGGATTGGGGCGAGATGAATGCTATCAAGAATGGTGGATTGGGGTGAGATGAATGCTATCAATAATGGTGGATTGGGGTGAGATGAATGCTATCAAGAATGGTGGATTGGGGGAGAGATCAAATGGTGGATTGGGAGCGAGATGAATGGATTGAGGGCGAATCAAGCATGGTGGATTGAGGCGAGATGAATGCTATCAAGAATGGTGGATTGAGGCAAGATGAATGCTATCAAGAATGGTGGATTGGGGCGAGATGAATGCTATCAAGAATGGTGGATTGAGGCAAGATGAATGCTATCAAGCATGGTGGATTGGGGCGAGATGAATGCTATCAAGCATGGTGGATTGAGGCGAGATGAATGCTATCAAGAATGGTGGATTGGGGCGAGATGAATGCTATCAAGAATGGTGGATTGGGGGAGATGAATGCTATCAATAGTGGTGGATTGGGGGAGATGAAGATGAATGCTATCAATGCTATCAAGCATGGTGGATTGGGGCGAGATGAATGCTATCAAGCATGGTGGATTGAGGGAGAAGATGAATGCTATGAAGAATGGTGGATTGGGGCGAGATGAATGCTATCAAGAATGGTGGATTGAGGCGAGATGAATGCTATCAAGAATGGTGGATTATCAAGAATGGTGGATTGAGGCAAGATGAATGCTATCAAGAATGGTGGATTGGGGCGAGATGAATGCTATCAATCAAGAGAATGGTGGATTGGGGTGAGATGAATGCTATCAAGCATGGTGGATTGGGGCGAGATGAATGCTATCAAGAATGGTGGATTGGGGCGAGATGAATGCTATCAAGAATGGTGGATTGAAGCGAGATGAATGCTATCAAGCATGGTGGATTGGGGCGAGATGAATGCTATCAAGAATGGTGGATTGGGGCGAGATGAATGCTATCAAGGATGGTGGATTGAAGTGAGATGAATGCTATCAAGCATGGTGGATTGGGGCGAGATGAATGCTATCAAAGAATGGTGGATTGGGGCGAGATGAATGCTATCAAGAATGGTGGATTGGGAGAGATGAATGCTATCAAGAATGGTGGATTGATGAGATGAATGCTATCAAGAATGGTGGATTGAGGCGAGATGAATGCTATCAAGAATGGTGGATTGAGGCAGAGATGAATGCTATCAAGAATGGTGGATTGAGGGAGATGATGAATGCTATCAAGAATGGTGGATTGGGGCGAGATGAATGCTATCAAAGAATGGTGGATTGGGGCGAGATGAATGCTATCAAGAATGGATTGTGGATTGGATTGAGGCAGAGATGAATGCTATCAAGATGGTGGATGGTGGATTGAGGCGAGATGAGATGCTATCAAAATGGTGGATTGGGGCGAGATGAATATCAAGCATGGTGGATTGGGGAGAGATGAATGCTATCAAGCATGGTGGATTGGGGCGAGATGAATGCTATCAAGCATGGTGGATTGAGGGAGATGAATGCTATGAAGAATGGTGGATTGGGGCGAGATGAATGAATGCTGGATCAAGAATGGTGGATTGAGGCGAGATGAATGCTATCAAGCATGGTGGATTGAGGCGAGATGAATGCTATCAAGAATGGTGGATTGGGGCGAGATGAATGCTATCAAGAATGGTGGATTGGGGCGAGATGAATGCTATCAAGAATGGTGGATTGGGGCGAGATGAATGCTATCAAGAATGGTGGATTGGGGTGAGATGAATGCTATCAAGAATGGTGGATTGAGGCAGAGATGAATGCTATCAAGCATGGTGGATTGGGGGAGAGATGAATGCTATCAAGAATGGTGGATTGAGGCGAGATGAATGCTATCAAGAATGGTGGATTGGGGCGAGATGAATGCTATCAAGAATGGTGGATTGAGGCGAGATGAATGCTATCAAGAATGGTGGATTGGGGCGAGATGAATGCTATCAAGAATGGTGGATTGAGGCGAGATGAATGCTATCAAGAATGGTGGATTGAGATGAATGCTATGAAGAATGGTGGATTGGGGCGAGATGAATGCTATCAAGAATGGTGGATTGGGGCGAGATGAATGCTATCAAGCATGGTGGATTGGGGCGAGATGAATGCTATCAATAAGCATGGTGGATTGGGGCGAGATGAATGCTATCAAGAATGGTGGATTGGGGCGAGATGAATGCTATCAATTAATTGTGGATTGGGGCGAGATGAATGCTATCAAGAATGGTGGATTGGGGCGAGATGAATGCTATCAAATGCTATCAAGAATGGTGGATTGGGGCGAGATGAATGCTATCAAGAATGGTGGATTGGGGCGAGATGAATGCTATGAATGCTATCAAGAATGGTGGATTGAGGCAGAGATGAATGCTATCAAGAATGGTGGATTGGGGCGAGATGAATGCTATGAAGAATGGTGGATTGGGGGATGAATGCTATGAATGGTGGATTGGGGCGAGATGAATGCTATCAAGAATGGTGGATTGGGCGAGATGAATGCTATCAAGAATGGTGGATTGAGGCGAGAGATGAATGCTATCAAGCATGGTGGATTGGGGCGAGATGAATGCTATCAAGAATGGTGGATTGAGGCGAGATGAATGCTATCAAGAATGGTGGATTGGGGCGAGATGAATGCTATCAAGAATGGTGGATTGAGGCAGAGATGAATGCTATCAAGCATGGTGGATTGGGGCGAGATGAATGCTATCAATAATTGTGGATTGAGGCGAGATGAATGCTATCAAGCATGGTGGATTGGGGCGCGATGAATGCTATCAATAATTGTGGATTGGGGGAGATGAATGCTATCAATAGTGGTGGATTGGGGTGAGATGAATGCTATCAATACTTGTGGATTGGGGCGAGATGAATGCTATCAAGCATTGTGGATTGAGGCAAGATGAATGCTATGAAGCATGGTGGATTGGGGAGAGATGAATGCTGACAAGAATGGTGGATTGAGGCGAGATGAATACTATCAAGAATGGTGGATTGAGGCGAGATGAATGCTATCAAGAATGGTGGATTGAGGCAAGATGAATGCTATCAAGAATGGTGGATTGAGGCGAGATGAATGCTATCAAGAATGGTGGATTGGGGCGAGATGAATGCTATCAAGAATGGTGGATTGGGGCGAGATGAATGCTATCAAGAATGGTGGATTGGGGTGAGATGAATGCTATCAAGCATGGTGGATTGAAGTGAGATGAATGCTATCAAGCATGGTGGATTGGATTGCTATCAAGGGTGGATTGAGGCGAGATGAATGCTATCAAGAATGGTGGATTGGGGCGAGATGAATGCTATCAAGCATGGTGGATTGAAGTGAGATGAATGCTATCAAGCATGGTGGATTGGGGCGAGATGAATGCTATCAAGAATGGTGGATTGAGGCGAGATGAATGCTATCAAGAATGGTGGATTGGGGCGAGATGAATGCTATCAAGAATGGTGGATTGGGGAGATGAATGCTATCAATAATGGTGGATTGGGGCGAGATGAATGCTATCAAGAATGGTGGATTGAGGCGAGATGAATGCTATCAAGAATGGTGGATTGGGGCGAGATGAATGCTATCAAGAATGGTGGATTGGGGGAGATGAATGCTATCAAGAATGGTGGATTGGGGCGAGATGAATGCTATCAAGCATGGTGGATTGAAGGGAGATGAATGCTATCAAGCATGGTGGATTGGGGCGAGATGAATGCTATCAAGAATGGTGGATTGGGGCGAGATGAATGCTATCAAGAATGGTGGATTGAGGCAGAGATGAATGCTATCAAGCATGGTGGATTGAGGGGCGAGATGAATGCTATCAAGAATGGTGGATTGAGGCGAGATGAATGCTATCAAGAATGGTGGATTGAGGCGAGATGAATGCTATCAAGAATGGTGGATTGGATTG